TTGCAGCCATAGATTTGAACCTAATTAGACTAATTTACACTAATTTCCAGTTGTAAATTTCAACCTAAAATGTAACAATGTTGGCAAATTCCGTATGCTATTTGTTGGAAGTATACCTAACTATTGAAAAGGAATATTCTCAGATGAATTATGAACATGAAAAAAATTTATACATATAAAGGAATACATTGAGAATTCGCATTCTCTAACTGATAAAAAATATAAATTTGTTATCGGTATATTGAACAGAAAACAACTACTTTCCTGGCTATATGCCACAACGAATTTTCATCTATTGAAAACACACAATAAGAATTTGACAATAAAATCTTCCGAAATTGGGATTTTGTATCCTCTCTCAGATGAGTATGTGTAGAAAATAAAGAGTATTGGAATCCTCAAGGAGTTTTGGACTGCCAGACTGCTATCCTGAAACACACTTTTTTTTTAGGGGTTCAAACTTGAATGATGAAAATTTGTTATTTTTACAGATTCGTAATTGGGTTTCCTCAATTCAGAATTTCATTCCACGCAAACTAAGGGTGTACAAAGTTGTTTTTGAAGAATTCAATAGTTTGTGATCTGAAATTTCATAATTCTGATGGTTCCGCCCATATTTGTTCACTTTTGACATTTTTTGACAGCTGTAGCTAACCTAACAATACGGAATCTCTAACCGTTGAAAATATATTCGATTGGCATATCAAAGTATTCAGGGTTGGTCATATAAAACTGGGGGTCGATAGAATTGTCTTTTCAAAAATACCTATAGGTATTTTATTATGAATCGTAACATCAACTATTTTGTAAGATGCATGTAGGTTAGGTATTGTAAATTCAAATTCATCGTGCTGATACTTTATTCGTGCCAGTAAAATGCTGACTCAAATGGGTCATTTTTCTTCCGTTTACTTACCAAGTTACCTTACCTATACATTCATCGAAGATTATAAATACCTATTTCAACATTCTGACGCTGATGATTCGACAATTCCAGTGCTAGTTGCAGAATGTAATCGTTCACTGCAAATAGCGGTAAAAGACCTTGAGATTGGCAATCATGACCCACCGTAACGTTGAACATCGAACCTCGTTTACGCGTGCAAAACATGTAATAATCTCGGTAATAATAACCTGTCTTGGTAATAGGGGAATCCAAATTTGTGTTCTCTTTAATTTTGTTTAGCTTTAGTAAATTTTGAAAATGTGCCATGCCATTTCTGATGATAGGTAGGTTACAAGCGACCATACTGTTATACCTACACAGAAAAAAAGAAATGAGTCAAACAATATTCATTTCAATGAAGCAAATGAAAGTGTCGAACTTGATGAAATTATATCTTGTTTCAGAGCAAATTTTGAGTTTGAATCAAGTAAATATTTCTTGCATCAAACTATGGACAAACACATCCGTGAATTGTTCAGAAAGAGCCTCCGAAAGAGCTATTGAATTGGCTCAAACAATTACTCTGATTGATTCAAAATGATAAGATTTTGATTCAATGAAATATTTCTTTGATTCAAGAGAAACTGATTATCAATTCGAAAAAATTTTTCGTTGAACCAAATTCAGTATTCATCGGGAATTTATAAAAACGTTTCGTCATTGGAATGAAAATGTAGGATAATTACTAAACTTCAGTAATCACTACAACAGTCACTACTATTCAGCTGATGTAAGTCTATGTCGATTTGCTTAGCATCTTGAGTTCGATTAATCCAGCTGGACTATGTATAATAAATTCGAGATGGGCATAGACGAGGCGGAAAGATCGCCATCTAGTAGCAATAATGTAACTTCATATTGAATGAACGAAAATATTTCATTGATACTATGTATTTCGCTCTCGTCAAGTAAATGATATCGTGAATTGTTACATCAGAATAAGAAAATTTTTATGTTGTCTTAAAGATATATTATTATATCCTTATCAAAATGATCTTTATTTTTTCTTCAGATGAACAAATTGTATGTCGTTGAATAATTTTCGAAATTATTTATAGATCAACATGATTTGTTTTTGAACTTGATATTATACTGTTGATTCAATTAAACTATATTCTTGATTAGAACAAGCTGCTCCTTTCAAATGATCATGTATCTGTTTAATAAAACAAAAAGTTGTTCAATCCAACACATAATTCAAACACAAATAATGTGTTGAAGCAACAAATCCTTTTTCTTTGTTTATACACCCATTCACGTATGGGATGGATATGAGATGATGTAATGTGAGAGATGGACACTTCAACACAGATAATTGGAAAGTTTTTCGAATTTGGAAATCGCTAAGATGAGTAGAATCTTTGGTAGAATTTCAACCAGCCGAGCATATGGGCATCACCTGTCTCGTGCCCTAATAAGACCGACCAGCAGTATATTTACAACACACTCAGATCAGTCAGATCATAACTGAGGTATCGTGAAATTCGTGAAAGCAAGTTCGTCATGATATGACGTACATCCAGACATCAGAACGCAACATTAAATCATATTTTTACGGGGCTATATTTTCGTAGTGAACGTCGTTCAATATTCATGAACGAATCCACGAAACTTGTTTACTATTACAGGCCTTTGACCTCTGACGAGCTTTTTTTATAAACCGCAAATTCATCTCGTCGGAATTCGATACTGTTTTACGACTTTTTATGATTCATTTACGATTACGAGAAGATCTCTTCTTGTTTATTCGTGACACCTTTGTGTTTTCTAACTATAGATGGCAAACAAATACCTACCTTTGAAATGATTCACACTTCCTATTCATATTAGACGAAATAACTATTTTATTTTTTCCATAATGACACATCGATGATAGATATAAACCTGAGAAAATTTGCATTGTTATCTTCATCTTACTACGACGGCAAAGCCAAAATAAAGAATTGTCAAGCTTTTTATTGAATAAAAATGGCCGAAAATTCCGAAAGAGGCCCCATGACGAATTATTAGTAGGTTTGGTATGGGTAGGTATTTTCGAAGGATGTTGACTAAAGCTATCCTTGTATTTATTTTTACTGTCCTCTTGTTGAGAAACATTATTTATGGGGGTGTAATAACCGTACTGTAAATATACAACCCAATTAACTTCGAATGCAAACAATTGTAAGGACATGCAGCAATGACAGCATAGTAAATTCGTGAAATGTAGGTATATTCCACTAAAAAAAAAAACATTTGTTCGTGAAATTTCTATTAGATCCAATGTAGGCGGCATGTTTAGAAAATCACTCTAGGGGAAGGTAGTACCTGTTTATTTTATTACTATGTATCTATCCATGGTGGTACAGCTGTTGCACAAACGTTCGATCGTATGGTCTGGGTGTGTATCAGACATCTGAAGTGGGTACCACCAGTACCACCTGTCTACTGTAAAATAAAAATCCTTAAAGGAGAACGATTGCCGCTCTGTTTAGACCAGCACATGTTCCATTACAGGACAGATGGGAATATAATCCAACAATTTTTAATCATTATTGAATGACTTTTTTTACAGAACCCTTATTCACTTATACTCCAATACAAAAACAACAATAACACGATCACAATATGTGATTTTTGGTATATTTTTATTGAACATGTTTATACCATGAATAATTTGATTTGATAAAAAAGAATATCTGTAAAATTTTCATTCTGTCATAGACAACACAATACCGCAGTCGAATTTGGATTTCTTCTTTCATTGATTAGCTCATTATCGTCTACATACATAGCTATTTTAGGCATCATCAAAACATTTTTATCATAAGTTAACCACATAAATCAGTCAGTAAATAACTTACGGAGAAATATGTATGCTGTGGGATGTGATTATTTGCAAAAAGAATAAATTTTATAAATAGGTATAACTTGAATCTTAAGAGGGCTTGACTTCCCTGGTTATCATATCTGAATAAGTAACCTCATAAGTCTTTAGATCGAAGCTACTTGCTCTGGAATCGATAAGTTCCTGCATAATATGTGACATAAAGACCTGTTATATCATGTTCTGAAGCGGTCATTTCATCAATTCTAATACTTCCAAGACGCAGGGTATAACATGAAGTTGTAGTCATGTTGTAGCCATCTTGTGGCAAAGCTCTGAGGTAGGATACAGAGATATCGCGACATACACTGTATGTATGGCGCTGCCATCTATAGTCACACGTACAGACCCCTACGTCTATACGCTACAGAGTGGTACTACAAGTAAATCACTCTGCTGACAGATAGCACTACCTGACATACTTGTCAGCAGACCGAGAGCGGCTGATGAGATCTGGTGGGTCGAAACAGTACTGTCTCGCTCCTGCTGACAATGGGGAAGACCACTGATTTTTTGAAACGACATTATCGTGAACTATATACTGAAAAACTACCAGTGAATTAATCTTGAATTTTTCCATTCATGCTAAGACGATGAAAAAAATGAATTAGTATATGTCCATTTCAAAACACACAATTCCTGCGCCATTTGAAATTTCATCAATTCATTGGTGTGACTGGTGCGACGTCTTAGTCCCAACACGCCTATTGTCCTTGAACTGACCAATTTCACTGCAACACTGCAGAATGACGAGGTATCAGAGAGAGATAGCTACAGTTCGGGACTAATACGTCACGACTCCATCATCATATTTGGCTGTTTGAAATATCGAATAAAATATGCTGAATTCAAAACGATATAGATTCGATTCCCTTCAACTTCAACTCATAATATTGATTGTACATGAAATGTAAATCATGATTCGTCGATTGAAAGAGGTTTGCATGGATTTCTTCCTTCAGTGGTCTTCCCCATTGGGGCAACTCTGTTCATCCTAGATCTCTTAGTTATGAGATTTAGCAGTCTAATACTTCCAACGGGTTCGACACCGGAAGTTGATGCACTCGATTAACCCTTCCTTGTCAATGTATAGTCCTCTTGAAATTCTTCATCTACACAACCTAGTCGTTGAAATGATTAAAACACATTGAAAATAAATATGGCATGAATATTTTTTCTTATTTCCAGATGGGTTTGCGAGGATCTGCCAGAACTAAAACTGCCATTAGAAAACAACATTCTCTGTGATTATGATACTAGAAGCTACGAGAGCATGAAATCATTATGTGATAGGTTCAATAGAGCCATTGATAGTGTTGTTGCTTTGGTGAGTATTTTTCGTCAATTCTGGTTCGTATCTTACTATGTATATATGGACGTTAGGCCCTCTCCTCTTTTCAATCCTTCTCCGGCATTTTTAGGCATAATAATTTTGAATACATACAGTACATTCATTAAAAATACAGTCAGAAGCTCGATCTGTATGAAGATACGTTGTGGCAATAGGTCACGTCAACATATTGAAAAAGAATTTCATTAGCTTATATTATTCACTCGAATATCTTGAAATATTGGAATTCGATGATATAATAATTAAGTTGTTGATAGCAACAAATTATTGAACCTATATTTATTGGCTCAGTAGTAGAATGAACAATTCTGAATTGGAAATATTTCATGTTCAAATTCATTATTTCCAATAATTTATAAAGTGGGTATTATTTTCTGAATTAATACATTCTGAAGGTTCCTGTCAATATTTTCGAAAAGCAATTGGAAGATTTTGCTTGCTACATCCCAAAGATACCAAACCTCCCTTTTCATGTTCTAATGGCAATAAGTTGTGATTTTTTAGACGAACTTGATGTGTTAATGCACACTCTCTGTAGTTGTGACCAGTGATTGTTGACTATTTCCAGTGAACATGATGTTAGTATATAACTTTGACATTTGGGATATTTTCTACAAAATATATGAGGTCATTTGCAAAGACGTTATATAGTAGAGGCCCCAGAAATGAACGTTGTGGAACACCCTGTGTGATGTTGCAAGAATAACAACGAATGTCATTCTTCTATATTCAGGAGATATGATTGAAATAATAAACGAGTAAAGGTAAACTTTTTAATATTTAGCAAATTACATGCTTTAGTCAACTGCATCAAAAGCCCTGGAAAAATCTCTAAAATTAATCACAGTTGTCCAACTTACAGGTAAGTTCTTTTAGAAAAGTACTTCTCTCTGTGTAAAAGGTATTCAAATTCAAGCCTCATTGTTGGAATCTTGGAGATAGTGAAAGAACGGAATCTTGGAGATGATAAAAAAAAACATAATCTGTTAAATAAAGGCATTTCTTTGATATATTCTGCAACTTTTTCTTCTTCCCAACAAGATGGCAATGTCAAATTTGAACATCAGAAACAATCAACTTTTTTTGTATATTTTTTGTTACCATTGGATACTCTGAAAAGCTGTGGATCATCCTTTCGATTTTCAAACGTTTCAATGACAATTTCTTTATTTTTAGAAAATATCCAATGCGACAACGATTTTTATCTAGAGTTCACTTGAATGATGATTTAGAAGTGGTGAGGGTATGTTTTGATGCTTCGAATTTTTCCACTCTGTTTCCTCATGTCATGAACTAACTAGACAATGCGAGTCAGGATCGAAATGTATTTGATAAATCTCAATAAGTCTATTCGAATTTTACATGTATTTTTTAAGATAGGTACTACCTCATTTTAGTTAACTGAATTACATTCAGTACCTAGTTAATGTCATTTCTAATTCGCCCTGAATATAACATTTCTTGAAAAAAGCAGATTCGTCATTTTTCAAAGCTGAAAAAAAATCCAGGTCAGTTTTGTAGAATATAAGTTGATGATTGTTTCTGGAAAACGGAATTCGTAGCCACGATGAAGGATAAAGTGCCATTTATTTTTATATGCCTTTTCAAATAGTTTCCTGACTAAGCATGAATTTGTTTTGCCCAAACATACGTATAAGCGATTCCTAAAGACCATTCAGAACGATCCAAAAAGCGCCTGCGTGCTGGCGAGAATGGTTTGTCTCTTTCGTTTGCTGCTTAGCGGCGATTATCATATAATTCTAGTGATATAATTTCAACAAGTCTAGAACGAAATGATATCACTTCTCTCTTCATGGAAGAAAATGCATTGCTCACGAGGGATAACTTTAATTTCATTCTCGGGTAACTTTTCAAAAAATTTACTTTCTAGGAAAATGGTTCTTTTAGGCTGAGTTAGGTTGGATTGTTTAAAAAAAAGTAGTATTCTTTCTTATATTATCTGTTTATTAGGTCCAGTTAGGTTAGATTGTTTGGAAAAAGTAGCCACCATCCTTATATCATAAATATTTTAGATCTTGCAATGAACAACTAACCATGTCACAAATACATTGTTTCCTATATTGTGAAAATGTTTGTTATCCTAATTTAGCGCCAATATCAGTGATTTTAATTCACCAACATAGCCCGAATCGCTCTGATTCGTCCTTGAGAACCCCCTATATCTATGTTTGGGCAAAACGAATTCGTGACCTGCCTGAATCCACTCACCGTTCCCGAGATCCCAACCGAGAAGTTCGAATTCGAACCACCTCTCGTTCACGTTCGTAGGAGAACCACACCTCATGCCGCCTCACTGAGTCCCAAATATTTCTCGTATAGGAAAAAGGCACCTCCCTGCCGGCGCACAGGATCAGCAAGTACCCGTCCCGCGGCCTCCTGAGGCACATCCTGCAGCAGACCTACAACGCCGCAGTTACCGACCCCGAGAAGCTCAACCAGTACGAGCCGTTCTCCCCCGAGGTGTACGGCGAGACTTCGTACGATTTGGTGTCGCAGATGATCGACCAGATCGAGATCACGGCGGACGACGTCTTCATCGATCTAGGTTCGGGGGTGGGGCAGGTGGTGCTGCAGATGGCGGCCGCCACCCCGTGCAAGATATGTTTGGGGATCGAGCGAGCAGAGGTGCCGAGCAGGTATGACATTTTGCACAGATTATCCCACTGTCCTTCCAAAAGTTGGCCGTGGGCCTACCATGTACTCACGGCGTCGGGGTGGGGGTAGCCTCAGGTGATTCCAGACACCACTGGTTAAAAGCTTGAGGTCCTCACTCTTGTCATGGTAGCGGAACGTGTAAAAGGCCGCGAACGGACACTCATCAAACGGGACTGGAGGATACTGGTCGACATGGGTAGCTGGGCTTGCTCAGCGAAAACTGGAACTATGGTGTACCTTGTGTCTTAGTTCGTCAGGGAGGGGGCAGCCCCAAGCGATCCTACCGCCAGTCATTGTAGGCAAAACCGGGTCCTCTCCTGTAAACGAGGTAGAGGAACTTTCGAAAGTCCTCGAACGCTCACTCATTCAAAGGGACGAGAGGATTCTTGTCAACATGAGTAGCAATCAGGCCAAAGCCTCTTGCGACGGCGACCCATCAAACGATACAAGCGGAATCTTGTTGACATGGCTACCTGGGGTGATGGGGATAGCCCCATCAGGCCGTAGATTGGTATAATAAAATGGTAGCAGAAGAACATGCCGTCACACAACGGAGATGGCTCTAGCGCGCTGATTTGGCGTATCCAAATCTTCCATTTCTCTCGGGGGTGTGCTGTCGGTATAACTCGAAATATAGGAGAACGGCAGTCATCCCTTAGGGGAGTCTTGAAGGAGGAGGGGTGGGACTTGGTCTCACCCGTTGCTACCCCGGCAACACTACGATTGATTGATTGATTGTCCTTCCAAAAGGACAGTGGCAAATCAGTTTTTTTTGTTGAGAATGGAAGGTGACGAGCAGATATGCATGTAGCCCAGACTGTGCTGCTGTCCTTTTAGATGGGCACTAGAAATTCCCCTTTTCTTGTTGAAAATGATAGGTGCCGAGCAAGTGTGCATATAGCCCAGATATGGCCCAGCTTGTACCACTATCATTTAAGAAGGACCCTGGAAGTTTCCATTTTCTTGTTGGAAATGAAAGGTGCCCAGCAAGTATATGGCAATTCCCTTTTTTTTTTCGTCGAAAATGTCAGGTGCCGTGGTGCCGAGCAGGTATGCATATGGCCAAGATTGTACTACTGTCCATTTAGAAGGACACTGGAAATTCCTATAATCCCTCCTAATAATTCGCGAGGATTCCGGCCGTTTTCTGGCACTTTCGGCCGTCCGAAGGTGGCTCGGTGACTATATCGTACGGAAGTCTTAGATGGGAAAATGAAAATTTTTATTTCGCTTATTAAAAATCTGAAAAAAATCACATAGACTAATTCGATGTCGTAATTGTCGAATCTACCGGAGTAGTCCTATTGGCAATAAAAGCGGAAAGCTGACTTTGAGCGCCGATATCCCGAAAACTATCTGTCCTATTGGGCTGATCATGGTCTCATTAGATTCAGCATGTCATTTTCCACTGGAAAAACGGTAATACCAAAGAATATAGGTTCTTTGGTAATACGCGTGAATTTCGGCCGTTTTCTGGCACTTACGGCCGTCCGAAGATGGCTCGGTGACTATATCGTACTGAAGTCATAGGTGGGAAAATGAAAATTTTTATTTGGCTTATTAAAAGTCTGACGAAAATCACATAGACTAATTCGATGTCGTTATTAACGAATCTGTGGTGTAAATCGGAAAATTTTGAAAAGTGGAGACGAAGTAGCCTACCGGAGTGCTCTTATTGGCAATAAAAGCGGAAATCTGACTTTGAGCGCCGATATCTCGAAAACTATCAGTCCTATTGGGCTGATCATGGTCTCATTCGATTCAGCGTGTCATTTTCCACTTGTTGAGCGATAATTCGCGTGGATTTCGGCCGTTTTCTGGCACTTTCGGCCGTCCGAAGATCTGGTCTCATTCGAATCAGCGTGCCATTTTCCACTGGAAAAGCGATAATTCGCGTGGATTTCCGCCGTTTTCTGGCACTTTCGGCCGTCCGAAGGTGGCTCGGTGACTATATCGTACGGAAGTCTTAGGTGGCAAAATGAAAATTTTTATTTCGCTTATTAAAAATCTGAAAAAAATCACATAGACTAATTCGGAGTCGTAAATCGGGAAATTTTGAAAAATGGAGACGAAGTAGTTTTCATTTATAACCCTCCTGTATAAACTTTCATGGTGCCAAAATTCAGTATGGACGGAGACTGAGAAAGCCCTAAAATTTCGAAATGATATCGATAATATATTAATCAAATCAAATGCAAGTATTGCAGTACCGCACGCCTCTGAAATAGCAGTCTCAAATGCGTTCCGACATGCGATCACCTCCGTATGCAAGCGTTCAATCCATTGCGTTCGAAAACGATGTCGTGACCCCTTTCGTTGATTAGTTTTTTTTTTTGGAAAACGGTTAGCTGTGATGCGAGATACCGAATTCTTATTTTTTTTTAAAGTCAGATTATCTCTTGGAACATACAATTTGGGCCAATAAAAGGGTGGACCCCCCTTCAAGTCCTTCATAACTGGGTTTACATAATTTTTGAAGCAAGAAGAAAATATGGTGTCTAAAAGGACAAGGGCATGCCAATTTCCAGAAGATGTGATCCGTTATTTTAGTCACAATAGGAGGGAGTGCATTCTAAGGCATATATGAAGAAAAAATATTATTATATATGATGTATATGAAGAAAAAATCTTATTTACAATGACAATTACTAACCCCTGATATTCGTTCGGAGGTTCTAACAAATTACAAATCAATTTCTAGTGATATTTCCTATACTCATGTCTATTTTTCCATTATTAGAATTGTTTACCAGATTGTTTCGGTTTTTCAGACAGCTCGGGGGGGGGGGGAGTTAGACCCCATGAACCCCCCCTCAATTACTCCACTGTTCCTTGTAGTGAGACAGAATGGAAAACAGCAAACGGAATCGGAAAAGTTGCAAATAAACCGACACATTAAGTGATTCAGGTGGCTGAATCGGACAAATAAAACGCAACTAATAAATTTCTTTCAGGTACGCCGACAGCATGAACAAGAACTTCCGCACGTGGATGCAATGGTACGGCAAAAAGTACGGGGAATACAAGCTGCTCAGAGGCGATTTTTTGACGGAGGAGCACAGAGAGAAGATCAACCAGGCGACCATCGTGTTCGTGAATAATTTCGCATTCGGACCGTCCGTCGATCACCAGTTGAAGGAGAGGTTCGCCGATCTGAAAGATGGCGCTAGGATCGTGTCTTCAAAAAGTTTCTGTCCGCTGAATTTCCGGATAACCGATAGGAATCTGAGCGACATCGGGACCATCATGCACGTGTCGGAGATGTCTCCTTTGCGGGGCTCGGTCTCCTGGACGGGGAAGCCGGTTTCTTACTATCTGCACATCATCGATCGTACCAAGTTGGAGCGGTACTTTCAGAGGTTGAAGAAACCCCAGATCAAGGTAGGGCAGTTTTCATCAACAGACGACTAGAATGTCCATTCATCATTGCATTGCTTTATTGGTTTTGTGCTCAGAGATGCTTTATTTATCCTTGTTTTGAAGCGAACATGATGAGCTTGTTTATTCATGACTACTATTTCTTAGTATCTTTCATTTAACCTGTTAATTTCATGAGTATAGGGAACCAGAGTGATGTTCTCATTGACTGTTTATAAAAGGAAGAGATACACACATTGTATATTCAATCATTATTTAAATTTGATATCCCAATATCGAATCTGAAGTGATTATCAAGGCAGAGGAGGCAATTTCCATACCTGGAATAGTTCAATATTCTTGTATGAAATATTACACCGAAATAGCTAATTTACGTTCGTTTTATCGGTTTCATTTCCTGATTTCAAGTAAAATGTCTGAATTTGGCAGTCATGCTTTTATAATTGAAAGTATTTAGAAAAAAATACAAATTTGTGACTTGGCAACATCCAACGGAAAGCAGTATCTGACTATGTTTTGTTTTGCCAAACTTGACGGCAAAAACAGTGGAAAATGTCAATTTAAGATTCTTATTACATATCATTCACGACTTATTCTAATAGAATGATGTTGCTGTACCAATTCTCTCTCAAATGGAAATTTATACTCAATTATCAGAATTTTATTAAACACCATATCTGTATTTTTTTGACGTAAGTATAAGTGATTGTTGTTATGTGGCCCGATGGCCATCAAAAATGTGGTAAAAATATGACGATATCAGCGCCTCTTACGGATATTCTATGATCAAGAACCTTTTGAGTGTCGTCAGTTTTTTTCGTACAATTTCATACTTCCTGGCTGAATCCCCTGCTCAGAGGACATCAAAATTGGAAAAAAAATATATTTCCACACATCTGAATTTATTCAAGTATTTCGGAAACAGGGAGTGGAACTCAGAAATATCACCTTTTCCATATTTTTTTTAGAATGGGGACGATGATAGTACAACGAGTAGTAGTAGGGGTGCGAGGGATAGGGCAAAGAGAGATCTGTCAAAGCAGCTAGCGATCGATTCTTCTTCTGAGAGCGAATTCGAGGACCAGGACAGCAATTACGGACCAGCCACTAGGAAATTATGGTCAGATTTTGGCTCTATGAAGGGTAAAAGTAGTCCGTCCGAAGAAGAAACCTCTAATTCGAAGGTAAGCAAACTTCATTTCATTCACATTTTATCAAATATACCCGATTTTCTTCTTTATAGTAAGTTGGAAGAGTTTTATTTTCCTCTTCTTTTTCTGTAGGCTCAATATTACAAGTTAACTCTGGTTTTAAGGTGGGTTCCCAATGCAGCAGTTTTGCTTTTCACGTCACACACACATCCATGTTTTAATTATAATTTGACATTGCTGACATAAGACAAACTGACATAAATTTCATTGAGAACAACAAAAAACAGTATAGCAATTATTGGATTTCGCGTCACTACGCGAAATGCAAAACGCTGCATTGGGAACCCACCTTTATTAGCATTTTTCCTCTGCTGTCAATTGTCATTTTCGGTTATCGTGAGTTTTGAGTTGTGTCACTTGAATTTGTCATGAGGCCTGTTTATTTGTATTGCTGAACTTGCTTAAGTTGATTTTTTTCCCGTGGTTGTCTCCGTTCATGTTGTGATGTAAATAGAGAAAGTCATAGAAAACGATTTAGTTCAGCAGGTAGAGCAAGCACAAACGACTATAAATGTGCATTCTTTTAGGTTAGCAGGTAATTTCCTTATATATTTGTGGAACTATCTGACATAAATGGTTTTTGAGCAAACGATAACATAAAAATACACATATAACAATATAATTGTCAGAAATTCACTACTAATAATCATAAACTTATTAGTTATTGTAAGTACATAACAAAATGGAAAATATTAATTATCTTAAGATGAACGTGGCGGCACTGCAAAATTTCGTAGTATGAGTTATAATCTATGTCGTTTTTGTTGTTATTTATGGTTTTCTAGTTGGTGTGATTAGTGTTCGATGGTTTTCGGTGTTTCAAGGATTCATTCAATATTCTTGATCTGCAGTAAACTATTTTGTGAATAAATATGGTTCGGAATGTCAAATCTGTAAGAAAAGGCGATTCCAAATATCCTCACCTGATATTTCACAGGTTCCTTTGTTGGCATGTACTTTTTAGTGATTCATGAATCTATTGTTATTAAATCTGAAGCATAGTTTTCTGCTAGGCGATTTTGGTTTTGGCGATGCTAGCGATGAATCGTGATTGTGATATTATTTGGTTAATTCGAATTGGTTAGCTACCATGGACCAATAATAACATCACACGTTTCATCGCCTAGCATCGCTAAAGCCAAAATCGCCCAGCAAGAAATAAAGCTTGAGGTTGGAATGTTTCCTCTTTTTTTTTCTAGGCTTCCAGCCACATCGGGTTTTGATAACATTTGCACTTTACTGTCAATTGTCAATATATCTGTCAATTGTCAATTTTGAGTTTCCTATTCCGAGACTTTAGTGTTGTGCGACTTGAATTTGTCATAAATTTGCTTTTTTTAAAGGTAAACAGGTATCATATTTCCTCATGTTTTTTAAAATTATCCAACTTGATCGACAATATAATTTTCAAGAAACTGTGATATTTCCCTATTTTATTAGTTACAACTGTACATGACGATAAAGCATAGTTATCTTCTGATCTTGTTCAGACATATTCATTTTTTCTACGCTGGCTAAACTTTTTTATTGTACACCTTCAAAGTCTCCCAAAAGAAAGTTTTTTCGGCCTGTTCCAGAGCAAGAAGCAGCCGAATATATTCTATTCCCTGGCATTGATTCCGCAGTTATCCCCATCATTCGCGATTCCATTCATTAATCTGTGTTTGGCGTTTAGGCTTCTTGGCGTACACTTTTTCATGATTTCAAATAGATCACGGTGTTTTATCTCTTTTTACTCAGACTGAAGAAGTCGAATATATCGCTTCTCTGGCAATTATTCCGCAGAGATATCCCCATCATTCGCGATTTCGTCCATTTATTCGTGTTTGTAGTGTTGTATCTATCTATTGTTGCTTGGCCTGAGCTCGTTTCTGTCGTTTCCAGAGCAAGAGGCAGCCGAAGAAGCTGAGACGCAAGGTGAACCGACCGGCGGGCAAGAACCAGCCGCCCGAGAAACCGCTGATGCAGAAGCCGGCACCGAAGGCCCGCAGGGGGCGCGTCAAGAAGGCCAAGACGAAGAAGCAGATCAAGATCAACGGGCTCGATTTGCTGCACAACGAGACGCTGCTGAGCACGTCGCCGCAGGCGGCCGGCAAGAAGCCGCCTCCGGCGCCGGGGTGCGTCGATCAGAAGCTGACGTCGCTCAGTTCTGAGTTGATCGTGCACAACGAGCTGGATATACCGGAGCAACCCTCGGACACGCCTTATGGACTACAGGTGAGTGGTTCACCCATTTCTACACCGGGGTGTATCATTGATATTTTAGAAATTTTCTTTCAAAAACTCCTAGTTTCCGATGTATGTACAGTGTGGCTGGAAGTCCAGACCCAACATTGGGATCTCGTAAACTGTAAGAGATATAGGGTCGGTTAAATTATGGTAAATTTGCGCAATTTTATGCATATCAAAATGACGTCTTGAAACTTGGAAAACTCGGAATATCTTCGGAGATATACGAAGTTATTTGAAGAAATGAATAGAAATGCTTGACCCTGTATCATGGCCACATTTTCTTTCCTACAAGTTGGCGTTTTCAAATTTGAAATCCGACTTTTCGTCATCCAGAAACCATCATTTTATTTTATTTAAATAGTTACTTTCAAGATTGTTTCAAAAGGAGAGTTGAAAGAAAAATATTAGGTTTTCGTTTACAGGTTGTGTTGAAAAAGTTGCTATTTTCATTGAACACTCTGTTTCTCGGAAATTTTACAAGGAAAATATCTTATTTTTCAATAAGAAGCAAAAATTGATTTCCACAATTGTTCCTGGCTGTGCCACGCAAAACATCGAATTATCTCCACACGAATCCACGTCTGAATATTATTTCAATAATGATGCGACCTTATCTGAGACATTTTTTGCTCTCCATTGAACTTCATGGCGAGTTTAAAAAAAATCTTGATCCATTGAAACTTGGAGCAATTTTGGTTGTGTTAGATGATGGCAACTTTTATTCATCTGTTCTCGTTTTTGGAATGAAGGTGAAGCTTTAATAATATAATAATAATCAGTCGTCATCGAATTATTTCGCATCAGTATGAACGTCAACTTTTGTCATTTATTTATCATTTTTTCACACGCATAAATTCGAATTCACACAAGTATGATTGTACCCAAAGAGCTTCCGGAAAAAAATTTCATGATATTTTCAGGTACTCCTGGACATGTTCAAGGGTCACTACATGCAGATGATAAACCAAATGAAGAACCCCATGTACAAATCCTTGGTGGACACCCAGATCGAGGAGGAGCGAGAAAGGAACAAGCGATTGAAAAATCGTGCCGCGCAGCTGGAAAAACAAATAAAAGTGCTCATCGATGACAGCGTGGCTCTACTAAAAGCGCGAATGAGCGAGCTAGGGATAAACGCTACTTCCCCCGTCGACTTGCTAGCGAAGGCGAAGGAAATCGTCTGCAGGCATAAGGAGCTGCAAGCTAAAGCTAGCAAGCTGCAGGGCCAGGTAGCGAATCTGGAAAGCGAGAAGGATCACCTGGTACTGCAACGGCAATCGGAAGTCTGCGAAAAGTACGTCGGGCCTAACGCCGGCCACGAGCTGTCTCCCAGCGTAGCTCAGGAATACATACTCAGAGAAATATCTTCGACTCTGACGCACAGGAAGAAATTGCAGAACGAAGTGTCGAAGCTAGAAGGGGATATAGTGAATTTGCAGAAGACCGGCGAGGATAGGAAGCAAGCTCAAGCTCTGGCGGCCAGGCAGCAACAGCAGCCGGCGAAAGCGTCCAGGAAATCCAGAGAGTACAGGGCCAGGTCCCAGGATTGGCCTGACGTGCCGGACATCGCCAAAATCGAGGAACAAAACCCGGAAATCCTAGCTCAGAAGATCCTGGAGACGGGCAGGAAAATAGAGGCCAGCAAGATGTCGGCCATCAATAACAAAGTGCCTCAAGTCGTCGCCTCGGCGAAAACCTTCCCGACCGGTCAGAAACCTCTGGTACGCAATAACATGCCGGCGCCCCTGCCCATGACGAAGAGACAGAAGACCTCCCACAGCTACCCCACCGCTAACCTGGCTGCCATCCCTGCTAATATTATAAATGTGAATGTAAGTTTGTTTGTCGGGCTTTCACGCCACTACTCAAACCGATTATCATGCAATTTTGTTGAAAAATTCTTGGATGTATTAGGAACGGCATAGAATACTTTTTATCATACAAAAAGTATGTTTTAAGAAGGCAACAAAACATCCATGTGGTGATGATTATCACTCCCTTATAAATCTGTTTGGTAGATAAATTCGTAAGACACTTGATGGCCAGTGGTTTATCAAGGTCCGTACTTGATAAGCCAAAGATCCCGGGTTCAAATTCCGTATTTCACTTTTTCCTTTCTTTTTTGAAGTGATTAATTGGAAAAAAATACTGTAAAGGCAGTTACTGTTGGGGCCGATAGTCATTAGCTATTTCAATGATGTTGGCTCTTGGACGGATATTTTCTGTATTGCTATATACTATACAGGGACGTTCGCATGGGGTGGGGGGGGCAAGGGACCAATATGGCGGACGAGTTTTGTAATTATGAACCGCCCCCATTCATAATTGGTATCTGGGGGTTTTCGGGGTCGGAGATTATGATTCTTTCGTCAAAATTTGAAGATTCAAGATGACCAAGCCAATATGGCGGACGAGTTTTGTAATTATTTTCCGATTATATTCTAAATTGGTATACGGGGGTTGTCGGGGTCAGAGATTGGGATTCTTTCATCAAAATGTGTAAATTCGTGATGACGGAACCAATATGGCAGACGAAAACAATTTTTCCTTGGTAACTTGTTTCAAAATCAACTGTTTTTACTCACTCATGGCACTCTAGATTGAAAATTAAAAAATTGGAAATTTTTTGATGATAAATGTCAAGAAGTGGCAAATGGGGTGTCTCACAATGTGGTTCTCTATAGAAATAAGTGAAAATATACCGAGTGTCCCATTTAAAATAAGAAAATGAGGGTAATTTCCCATCAAACCGGAAATGACAGAAAACAATTGAATATTTCAAATAATGCATATTTTTGTACTATACTTACACCGAATTTCATTTGTTTATCTATAGAAAAAGAGTTATAGGGGTGAGCCACTTTTGAAAAACACCCGGTTTATGTAGCCTGTTCGCGTTTATCTAATGCCTGAAATTTACACATTTTCGTACCGGACCGAAAAACTTGCAACATAGTGTACAAACATATTCTTATAAATGACAGAACATAATAACATCAAATATACAGGGTGTATCTGAATAACACCGAAGAAAATCAAGAATATCGATAAATTTACCCACTGTGATGTCACTGGAAATATTATTTCGAATCTAATTGCACTAGAAGCAGCTCCATATTACTATCAACAAAACCACAACGTTTTATTGAAATTGATAAAAAGATAATTAAGAAATGAATAGAAAAAAGATTTTCCATGGAAATATTAATATCCTATATCTCGAAAACGAAGCAAGTTAAGACACATGTTTATATGAGCTTTATTTCCTGAAATATCACTAGGAATCATCCCCTGAATTTTTTCAATTTAGATACACCCTATATAAAAATTCTACACAGCTGAATTTATGCGTTGCATTGTTCCATTTTGGTAACGGTGTTGGGAACAGAATGACGTTTGCAAATAAAACGACAATGATAGAGGTTAAATTTATATATTGGGGCTCTGAATAATTTCAAATTCATAATACTGATCAAGAAGATTAATCAACGCATATCTGGAGCGGTGCTTGTGCTGATTGGTGAAAGTTGTCCGAGATCGAGAGAATTCATTTTATCTGCGAATGAAGATTTGAAACCTATCTTACTTGGAAGAATCATGAACTTAAGAACCTCAAGATGAAAAGATCTTCCAATCGTTTCCTTCTTTCGAAAAGTTTCGTTATTCATCAATCTAATTACCCTTTTTTGACAACTGTCAACAGTCATTCCACATCATTCCTTGTAGTGAGACAGAATGAAAAGTAGCAACCGGAATCGTAAACGTTGCAAATAAAATGACACATTGAAGTGATTTCGGTGGCGGAATCGGATGAATAAAACGCAACTATTAGCGATCTTCGATATTCATTCAAGGGCTTCAACGCGAGCGAAGCCGCCGGTAAAAGCTTACCGAACAATGTGGTCGCTAGCACGAAGGCGCAGGAGCCCCCGCGTCTGCCGAACTTCGAGGACCGACTGAAGAGCATCATCACGTCGGTGCTGAACGAGGACGTGCAGAACAGGACGAAGCAGGCGCAGGCGCCGCTGCTGCAGTACGGCCAGCCGAACGTGAACGGTGGTACGCAGCAGCAAGCAGCGAATTACGGAGCTCACGGCTACGGTTATCAGAACAGCTTCGTCCAGCCGAAGCAGGAGGACAAGCACAGGAAGTATCCTGTAAGTACTGATCGACTTCACTTTGTTAGGCCTGTATTTTTATATTCGTTTCCTCAAGAACTCCCCAAGTCTTCCTCATCCGAGAATTCCTTGATGTCTCCTCAGCACTTGACGTTGAAACTTGTTTTATACAAGTTGAGTCGGGAGGAACGCACTTAACTCCAGGTGTGTATTGTACACGTAAAAATAATTTCAAAAAACTAATATGTTTTGATACGATACTTATTTGTTGCCATTTTAAATTAGAATAGATTTGTGGCATTTTATAAGACTCGAATGTTCCATTTGTTTTGTTGTTCTGACATGTGTTCGTGTCAGTGTCAGTGTGTTTGACGCAATTATTTTCGAGTTTGTACGATTACAGTCTTATAAAATGCCATACATCTATTCAAATTCAGAATGAAAACAAATGAGAATCGTATAAGAACATATAGTTTTTTTTTTAATTATGTATGCCTGTACAATACACACCTGGAGTTTGGTGCGTTCCTCCCGACTCACCCAGTATACCTCCCTTGAGTATTCCTTCTAAAAGGAGCCCTCACACTTGGCACACAGTGTATAAATTCAGTGTCCTGTGACAAAATTTGTTGTTTCATGTCACGTGTTTATCACAAAATGTAAAATGTCAAATTTGGCAAAAATACTCAAATTATTCCATCATGTTGATTCCATATACGTATTAATAAACAATACGGATCATAATGGGTGCCAGGATGAAGCCAAAAATATGAAACAAATGAATATCCATAAGGATTTGGTGGCATGATACGCATGCGCCATGCGCTATTATAGTAGTCATCAAAGACATGCGATTCGGTGGACAATGACGCTTACTAGCCTTTCAATTAAAGCAGTATGTGTCTGATCGTTTCAAAACTGTTCCTTATGGATAGTCACTTGTCTTCAAAAATCGGCTTCATGTTTCGCTATGGAAACAGATAGAGATTATCCGTATTGATTATTAATACGTATATGGTTGATTCACGCATCCCATAATATATGACTGTCGTATTAATGAATCATATCTGGTTAAACCACCTAATTACCTCATTATCTTTCCTCTCCTTAAGGTTGAAACGTTTGGCTTGCACAACTGGTCGAACAGATTCACGATAGGTCGCGTGCACGATGACTGACCCTGGAAGTGAAACATGGAAACACAACCCCACTTTTCTGTGAAACTTTGAAACACAACCTCACTTTTCTTATTTGTTTACAAGGGAATCAAAGGATTGAAATAGTTTTTCACAATATTTTGGCATATGAATTGTGTTTTTGATCTATTCATTAATTCAAGCATGCCATCACATTGTTCTGTTGTACAACGCACAAAAAATGCAGCGAGAGACGAAGGATGATTTTCCAGGGTTTCATCATGAAATTTTGTCATTCCTCATTAGAATTCCTTCTGCCACTTCTGCAATAGAAGCTAATACTGCTAATAGGGTCAAAATGTCTACCACACACACGATCGATCATATTTCGTCAGCATTTCAGCCCAGTCCTCCCGTTTGATTGCATAAATCCAATCTTCTTGCTTTTTTTTTAAACTTCACTAGTATTTCTATTAACTTATTTTTCAGAAGGAATTACAATGAGAAATGACAACATTTCAAAATGAAAACTACATGTGAGTGATGAACTATTCGCGAAAATCACGAACCAATAGATGGCTCTATTATATGTCAAATCAACGTCAAATTTCCAACTGAGTATGAACAACAAAAACATTGCCGTATGCACTCATTGCAAATTGGTTATTTCCAAATCATTTTGCAAAATAGTGAATAATAAGTTGACTTCTTGAAATACGTACAAGATTTCCAGTATGGAAAAAATTACTTTTCGTGCAGAGAAATTGCCATTTTGATGAGGACAATATGGTTGATATCACACTACAATCCCAGAGTTTTCAAACATATGGAATGATCGGAATGGTCCACTCAACACTTGCATGGACTGGAATGGAACCATACAAGCAATCAGCTATTACAACAATATGGTGTAGGTATGAAGAAATAATTGAATTCATCAAGAAATATCACTGGCTTTTATGAAGGAGATGGAATTCTAGTGAAGGGGTTGGGAAAGAAGATATGGTTGGAGAGGCTGCTCAGAATGAACAATATCATCGATTTACATAAACAAGGATCTCCAGCAATTGAGGACTTGAAGTTATTCTCAAGATCGAATCATTGCAACCAACATTTATACAATTCTAATTGTGCTTCAAAGAATGTATATTATATTATTATAAGGTAGGTACTGGTTTCTTCATTGTAAACAATAAAAGTTCATGCAATAATTCGAGTTTTTTCATCAGGGAGAAATGAGGTTCTGGTTTATGCACTTCAACAAATAAATTATTTTCAAATAAAACACATATTCATGAAATTCAAAACAATGGTAGCCATATTTGTTGTTCATACTCGCAAGGCTTGTACAATTGGCCACCAGAGGCCGCACACTTCGTGATTTTCGCGAATAGTACTTTTAGATCATAATGTACCTACCTACCTTAAAAATCGGATTCCTGCATCTCTCGCTGCATTTTTCGTCCATTGTACAACAGCACAATGTGAAGGCATGCTTGTATTATTAAATAGCCGCAAAACACGATTCGTATTCCAAAATAATTGTGAAATACTATTTAACTCCGTTGTAAACAAATGAGAAAAGTGTGGTTATGTTTCAATGTTTTACCTCCAGTCGGTCATCTACAGATCTTGCGCGCAACCCATTAGACATGATGGTTATGGCTGAATTGTCATTACACTGTAACAAACTGATTTTATTCTGATTTTTTTTTCCAAAGATTTTGATGGCTTCACAGGTCATCTGGCCACGAGATCCTCTCTGACAGTACCTGTTGCGCAAAAACCTAAAATTTTCAGATGGACCATAATTGCGTGGCTAGTGAAGAAATTGTCATCTGACTCTGTGTTTTAAGTTTGCAATAGAAAATGAGAGTACACCTCCTAGCGGGGTTTTTGAACGATATCGATACGGTCTGTTTAAATTCTGTTTCTGAGTAGTCACAGCACGTCCTGCCAAATGCTGACAGTAAAATTGTTATGCCTTTTTTCACATTTCCTGATTACTATATCCAATAATTCTCGTTTGCGGCTAGCTCCAAGTATAATTAAAGACTCAAACATGGAAAAGTTAGATAATAAAATGTCGGCGATGCCAAAAAATGGCGAAATTGGCCAGTCCAAGTTCATCCAAATCAGTACATATTTCAGTCATCAGGAAATGAAGTGGACTGAAGTAGAGCCCAATCATAAGTTTATTCCTCTAACCGGTTGAGTGTAAGAGAGTGTACACCTGCTAACTGTGTTAGCAGGCAAAGCGCTAACTCTGCCTCTTGTCAGTGGATTATCTTATTCAAATTGCATGTACCGAGTTAACTAGACTGGCAATAAAATCTTCTATCATTATTAAGAGTATATTGAAATATTGGGGCCATGTAGCCGTGCGGACAGAGTGTCAATATTCTAATCCACATTCGCTTGCCGGTCGTGGGTTCGATTCCTATCGACTGCAGACATTTTTCTGATGGCCCAAGAAAGTGTTTAGGATCACACTTTAAAAGTCAAGGCCCCCGTCATTCCTTGCTCGCACAAGTCTCTCGAAGACTTCTGAGGGTTTCTCGTAAGGGGGCAACCGAATGACAGATAGAACAATTTTTAGTGCAATCCTCTGTTCATCAGTACCCAGTGTTCAATTATCCATACATCGACAAAAAAGTATGAAAAAGAATTGTGTTTATAATATTGCGTTAACGCAATATTGGCAAAAGATTGGTTAAGGCAAAGCAAACTGTTTGCAGCAAAGCAAGTACTCCCCGCGCTGCGAGACTGTCGTGCGACAGACCGACGACCAGCGGCCGCGACCGCCGCAAGAGGGCCTCGCCGGCATGATGGAGGGCTACAGAGAGGAGATCCCGAGGGGGCCGGCTCAAGCAGTGGCGCCTCGGCAGCCGAGCGCCGAGAGGCCCGATTACACGCAAGTGTCGCCCGCCAAACTGGCGCTGAGGCGGCACTTGTCGCAGGAGCGGCTGGCTCACCAGCAGACGCCGTACGGCGGCGGCGAGGGGTTGGTGGCGACGAGGACGATCGGTGAGTTCGCTGCTCGGTTTTCTGATACTTTTTGGTCTGTTTCGGAGTGAGATTTGGTAAATGGTCATTTAGGGTGGAGTGAAGTTTATATGTGTGAAAAAAAAAAACATTCCTTTTTCTTATTGAAATAGCTGCAAAAACATGCTCCGCTACTTAACTGAGAGCTATGCGAAAGATGGTGTTGAATTGATAACTTATGGACTGTATAATGATGAATATCTATCAAACTGTTTTGGAAAAGAATTGAAAACGACTGATTGGCAGAAATGGCTCACCTTGTGTCAATGTCTCTTTTGGCCGGCCTACGTGTGAAGAATACTGCTCTGGTGATGTAAAGTCGCCCCAATCAGCACCATTAACACTTTCCAGCGTTTCTCACTATAGTTACACCGTTAATAATGAAAAGCGGTTGATAGGATGATAATTGAAAGCTTGTGGTAGAATAACCATAGAATCTGCCTTTCAGAGACCGCGAAATATTTGAAATACCTTCGCATAGTTAATGATATAATTTTTATCCCAAATTAAAAGTCGTACTTATAAGAAAACAAAATATCAAATATTCATTATAGTATAAAGCTTTGTTTTCATGACAACGTTTTGCGTCGTGCGTCTTGCGTTGCCTCGTTCTGATTGGCTATTTTGACTGACGCATTATTTAGTAGAAATGAAGTTAAAAATATTTAACTTTTGCGTCGAACGCGAGAAATGTGGGATAGAGAACCTCTACTCTTGTAGGTTATGTTTTAGGTGTTCCTAATCACCCAAAACAGGAAGAGCACAGATTCAAGAAAATTTGAATTTAATAAAATTCAGACTATTCACAGTGTACTTACTTGGGTTTTTAATGGTTTATTGAAATATGGAAAAGTAAGTGACTACTATAGAATACCATTGTACCTGAAAAAATTGAAATAGCATTCAGAGTCCTGGTCAGCAAGCTCTCTAATCAAGGTTTGAAATGCTCCTAATCTTTTTCTAATTTGGAATATAGGTCTCACCAAAAATTGTTTTTTTTTCCGGTAGGTACGTTTTTTTCTTCTCAAATACAAAAAAATTAGTATTTTTCTCTTCGCCAATTTTGTTCATCCATTTCGTATATATTTATGGAAAATGAATATTTTAACACTGCAGTTGTCAAATTACAACCATTTCTGGCAATAATTATTGGAAACCTATAATAAATTTCGAATATTTGATTCGAGATGGTTTCAAATTCAACCTGTCAAAATCTGGAAGCGGACGCATGAATGAAAATTATAACAAATTTCATGGAATTTGCGTCATTTGAAATAGCCAATCAGAACGAGGCAACGCAAGACGCACGACGCAAAACGTTGTCATGAAAACAAAGCTTTAGTATAATTTGAATAACCAACAGATGGTTTCTCTAAAATTATATTATGAGGTGCCCCAAGGATTCATAGAAAAAATCGAATATCATGAGAAAAATCTTTTTTTTCTTCATGATTCTCGATTCTTTTTATTCCACATAGCTCTTAGTTAAGTAGTGGAACATGTTTGTGCTGCTATACCAATTTGAAATTCAGAATTTGTCGACACATATAACTTCAATCCACATTAAATTGAGGTCTTTTCTATTTTGAACGAGAGAGAGGAAAGTTCTCTCCTCTTCCACCTTTCTCTTCAATGACACCAACGTAGCCGCAGTGAAATATAGAGGTCCAATAAATCTGTCTTTGTCTATCATCTGGTGTTGTGCCACTGAACTATTTTTGAACTCAGCAGAGAGTCAAATTTGACGATATCAACAAATGATGTCATAATAAGTATGATATAATTCGAAATTTCTTTTAAAAAAATCCAAAGGTTATCGATGAACGGCATTTACGACATAGACATGTCACATCATTATAACATCGAAAATAGTTCAGTGGCGCAGAGTAGACGTTAGACAAGGAAAGATTCATCATCTTTATATTTCAATGCGGTCACATTGGTTGCACTGAAGAGACAAATGAAAGAGGAGATAACTTTCCTCTCTCTCGTTCAAGTTAAAATAGAGCTCAATTGGTCATACAGTTCTAAACACACTAAATGGGCCACTCATAATTTGACTCTTTCGACGACGAAGGGTTTGAAGGGTTTTCATGTGGTTTTCGATATCAGATGTGATATTTTATTAACTTCAAAGAGAGCTAGAACACTGTGTGTTCAGAACTGTATTTTGAGCATGTTTTGGGTTTTTGTTTGCCTCTGTTGATTCGTGAAGAGTTTGATGTTTTGGTTTGCTTATCACAATGAAAATGTTTCCACTCTTGAATGATAGTGAAACGGTTTGGTTAATCGGTTTTACTTCTTGACGAATTTCACATTTAACAAGAAATTAACGCATTTGGCGCGAGTACAACGATTTTCGTGTGTGTTCAATATTGTCAATGTTCTGTTTCTCAAACAAGAGGGGTCTAACCGACCTCACGAACTTTCTTGATATTTTGTCATAAACCTTCAATAAACTGTTATAAATGTATCTCTGTATGAAATATTGATGATTAAACTCAATGAGTAGAGTCTAGGTATTAGAAATTGAAGCATCAAATTTTGATCCACCTGACAAGGAAGTAGGAAAAGTGGCACTAGTATACTTTCAAGTTTTACAGATGATTGAAACATTTCATGAAAATAAAAGGTGTGTAGTGTGTCCATGTTGAGGACTTTCCACTAGTAAAATCTGTATTTTTTCATTCTTCTTAAAATACTCTTTATTGAATATAAAAATATGTACATGTATGTTTCAAGTGATTCTAGTTTCAGTGAAAAAAAAATCCTTATGGTACTTTCTCAAATTTCAGTCCATGGAATTGGCCCACAGTTGGCCCAAACATGTAGTCATCTACTTAATTTCAAACAGGCACCTAACAATACATGTTCATGTAGCCCCTTGACGTGGACACACTGTATATAGAACAAATCTTTACAAACTTTTCCATATTTCTTGATACATTTATCATGCTACTTAGTGTGTTTGACCCTGCAAAATTAAGAACAATGGTTTTGAATCCTGCACTTTGTAGTACAATGTTTATTATGTTTTTGTATTGAATGTAATTTGATGTTGGGTCAAAATCACTGCCAATCCTCAAAATTGAGTGTTCTCTCAGTTCACACTTCTAATAAAGGTTGTTCATAAAGTCGTGGATAAATTTCAATGGGAATTATTTAACTTCACAATAGCCTCCCACAATGTTTTAAAAATATTGCCTTAGGGCATGAATTTAAGAGAAAACTAAAAAATATCTCATTGACGTGTCAATCATTATTTGGTTGAAGAATATTTTGAAGATAATCGTTAAATTATGCCCAAACTGCTATGAATACTTTGTTTCATCTGAATTTTTGATGTACCTATATGTTTACAGCTTTTTTGTAATACTAAATTATTGGTCGATTTTAATATTTCAAGGCAAATGTTGTAGTTTCGGCTAGACTTTTCAATTTTAATTTGCTCATATTTCATCTGTCATATGTCATTATTTGATAATATGAGATTAATAAACTCTATCCTATTCTATCATTGAAATAACATCCGGAAAATGTGAAGTTTGAAATTTGTCGAAGATCCTTATGAGCTCCAGAATTGATCAATCAATCAATGTATCTGAGAGGCTCAATTTTGACGATTGATGTTGATTGAGAGTAAGATCCTGTGAAGAATATTGCCACGGAAAATGTTCATTCCAGGGGATCTCATGTCAGGTGAAATCGAGAGAACCCTCGAAATATCCAACCAGTCAATAATAAATGCAGCAGTTGATATGAGTGATATTCAAGGTACTGCCACGCTGACATCCAGGTCGGTAGTCAATGCGAATTTACCTCCCCGTCCAGAGCGAGTTAACGTCAAAGTGCCTAATCCCGAGACCCCGCCCACCCCCAAAGAAGTCGAGCCGATGCGCCAGCAAGTGTACAGCCCCATTTCCAGGCCCTCCTCTGCCGAGGGGTTGGAGGGACTGGCCTTCATGCATTCGCACGTCAAGGTAAGTATACTCGGAGGTCTGGCTGAGCGCCGGACGTCGATCATCGCCATCTCAACTAACAGGAGAATCTCATCGGATTTCGTTTATACATTTAATTACATATTTTCATCATCATGGGTTTTTTGTGTTCTTTGACTCGTGTAGTCATTCGTTTTCCTGTATGCCCAACATCACCACCTTTCAAATTGAAGATTTCTGATGTTTCTTGGGAAAAATGCATGAGTTTGTAGGTATGTCCTTCATCCAGAGGATATTTACAGGGCTGATCCAGATTTCCTAGAAATTTAAAAGTCGAATATTACTTCTATGAATGTATGATAACACGAATTCTTATATAACAAGTCAAAAAAAGAATTTGCTAACACCAATTGAATTGGGATCGGCCATGGTAATACCTATGTCGAAAGTATTGATATTTTTACTCTTTACTTTTCTGACATTTTCCAGTTGTATTCAAAATGAATCATTTAACCAACAACCCATTATGTGGAAGTTGCAAAATGACCAAGTTCATAAACACATTAATAAAATCTATGGCGTCAATCCTAATCACAAAATAATTTTATTTTGTGCATGTGGCCATAAATCAAATTCAACCTCCTTACCATTGATAACTCAGACTGAGTTTCTTGTGTTCTTTGACTCGTGTAGTCATGCGTTTTCCTGTTCGACCATCATGACTACCTTCCTAATTGAAGATTTCTGGTGTTCATTGGAGAAAATGTAAGATTCTGTAAAAGAAGGCCTGTCCTCTTCACCTAGACTGACCTAGAGGATATTCACAGGGAAGATCTAGACTTCCTAAAAATTTTAAAATCGATAATTATTACTCATTTGAATGTATAGTATATATTATAGTCTTGGGGAAAATTGTGAATGATAAATAAAAATTATCATGATTGATATTCCACACCTTCATTCATTTATGCATTTCTGAATGTTCTTCTTTACTTCAGTCATCTTCAGTCATTCATTCCAGACATACAAAACATAAACTATGAATCTAATAGTGTGTTTTTTTGTTATAATACAGTCAACATGGATTTTCGTCTTGTATCAGCCGAGTCCATCCGCTAAATGGATGAAGCTCGATGTACATCTGAGACTTGAGATCACCAAAATTGGTGAACCCTAAGAAACCGATTCGCTGAACCATTGTCGTTCTAAATAAAAACCTAGTTTAGTAGTAGGCGAGAGGTATAATATTTTCTGTTCAGTGAACCAAAATTCTTCAGCCTGTCAGTGGCGCTAGTTTACTGAACACATTGGGAGCTCATTTATTTCAATAGAATATTAGTCAATTTAGACAATTTCAGCTTTCAAATGGTAACATCAGACAAATTAAAATTTTGATTTGATTGTCTAATTCAAGATCGTTAGTTATTGTTGTTGGTTTTTTTTTATTCGATTTTGCACCTTTACAAAAGGTTGAGATATATGGAATTCTTCAACTTCTCAATGATTACGTGAATTTGAGGCAACATGCAATTGCTTCCAAAAACATCAGGTAGGAGTTTTATTGATATTCCAGGAATGAAGATGATGCAGTGAGTTCAACAGCAATATAAAGGCAAATAAGAATTGCAATAAAGTGTAAACAGTTATGTTTCATCACATCGCTGATGAGTAACTAGTTCATACTCAAATTCAAATAAAGTCAATGAATCGAGAATTTTAGGAGATTTGAAAACAATGAGGTTCTCTACAACTCTTGGTCAAAACTCAATATTTGTCCAGGCTACTTTGTACAATGACCTTCCTTTCCACCGTATCCTAACACCGTATCGCAAAGTTGATGTTGCTAAGCAATGGTATACGATGAGTAATTGTTTTTGCTGCAAAACTGGTTTGAGTGTCCCGAACATATAACACAAAGAATTCATAGGCATTGCCACGAATTCCGTAGTTATATAATTTTTATATACATAATAATCAAGTGAGTAAGGGCGATGTTCTCACTAAACAGACAATACACCTCCCGTCGCCTACTACTTAGGTTCTCATTTCGACCGACGCTGGCCGAACCGCCTCGCCGACCCCTAAAACCGCCCTCGCTTTTCCAGCAATACATAACGCCCCCGCAGCCGAGCCCCAGACAGCAGTACTCGCCGCGCACGACCGTCCTCTATCCGGCGCAGGCGCGGCCGAACCCGCCGACCTCGGCGTACGCGTCCGGCGAGATGTACACGCCGCTGCCCAGGGCGGACATCAAGCCCTACCACGAGAGTTATTTTAGCGACGTGAAGCCGCCCGGGCAGGAGCACGAGCCGAGGAACAACTTCGTGGCTGAAGGTGAGGGAGTTATTTTTTTTTTGATTGGCATTGGTGGCGGAACAACTTTTATTCGGGGGGAGAGGGGTCACAGTCATGAACTTGCGTACGTAAATTTATAAAAAAAAAAACGCTACACAGATTAGGAAACGTTACAGATGTGCAGGATAGGAGAGATAATGAAAATTCGAGAGAAAGAAAATCGTACTAATTTAAAGGTCCACTAATAGAGAAGGAACTGGTGGAGTGCTTCTGCACTGAATGAATAATATGTTTCCTACTCACTTGCATGTGTTAAACAGAGGTAGATATACACTTCGTGGAGAAACAATCCACCAGTTCCTGCCAATAGAATTCGCTATTATGGTGAGTAGATTATAGAATGACGGCAATAGACCTCCAAATGCCGTTTCCGGAATGGCATTGTTGGTCAAGTCACTGAATAGCTAAAAATCGAAAGGGTATCTCCCATGTACTAATGAATTTGCGCCTTCGAAGTGTCCGCCTGATGTTGGGTTTAGATATTTGATATTCTAATTTCATCATCTAATTAATCTGAGGCTTCCGAGTCTATCTAATAGTTAATATCCAAGTGTGGGACCCGCCTATGGAAAGGCATCTGACTCGACTCATACTGATAGCTATGCTGATAGTGACTAATATAGTTTTATGTAATGTAAACGGGATTAAGGTTGGACTCATCATTAATTATTCAGATATTGTAGAGACAAGTTGTACCTAACAGAAGTCGAATATAAGTGTTTATTGTGCCTACGTGTATAATTGCGATTCTAGCCCAAGTAGCACACAAGGTACTAACGTATAGAGTTTCATGTCTGATTGTTGGATGTTTTGTGTCCGAAGAGCAAAGAACAGAGACAATGCATTGACAAAATGAAATAGAATGCGTTGAACTGAATGGAGAAACAAAACAGGTAGAAGCACTACCATATTAGAGGTTTGACCAATCAAAAAGTGTATCACTATTATTGTCGTCACTCTATTCATAGTCACTCTAGTTGATTGGATGTCAATCATTAGCCTAGCTGGGGTAGGGCAGTTCAATTCCAACCGGATTATTTCATATGTTTCAATATCAAAGTTCATTACACGTAGCAGTCGGAAATTTCAAAGTTGACTATGAATGTTCACCCCAACACCTGAATTATAAACTACACGGCCGCCAAACAACCAAAATAAAGTAAACTTATTCAACCAAATAATATTATTAATCAACAAACATGTGATCCCGACCGAGAGCGCTTCAACAATGCCATCGATCTCTCTATGCGTTACGTAACTAAGACCTCATCGTTTAATCACACCCGTGATATTCCTGTCCTAGTCATATTCCTGTATACAACGACAGTCACAGATAGTTATTGTACATTTTTTATTTTCCTAAAATTAGGTATTTTCAACATTTGACAGATATAATTCAATATTCTGTGTTTAACCACTAAATTTCTGTTGGATATTTCAACAATGATTTCGTATTCCTCAAAAAACAAGGGATTATTCGTACAATAGATATGGTCAAGTTATGCCCCAACCTTTTAAAGACTAGTTATTTAACGTACTATTTCGTAACACCGAAGAACCCCTATTTTCTCGGCATTCCTACCTAAGTATCCATCCTTGTCGCTAAACCAATCGAAATCCCAGGTCTGGCGGCCAGCCTGCAGGCTCGCGCACTCGCCCCGCCCATCAAGGAGGAGGTTGACCTCTACGACCGCCGGCACGCCCCTTATACGCACCCGCCCTATCAGGAGCCGAGCCCAACCGTGAAGGCGGAGTCGGACGGCCCCGCCCCGTACCAGCGTGACCCGCCCCTCATTCAAAGCGTGAAGCGTGGTGGCGCGGGCTACAGGCGGGGCGGGTACGTGGTAGGGGGGCGGGGCTCTCCCGAGGAGCCGCCGCTGTTAACGGAGGAGGGGCACCACGAGCGCAGCAGGAAGGGGAACGAGGAAGGTGGGTGCCGGAGGGGAATTGGAGGGGTGCATGGGGGTAGGAGTAGATGGTGTTTGGTGTTTTAACTCGAGCGGTTACTAACGAGGGAGACTAGGTCGTGCTGGGTGTTTTCAGATGGTGGGGCTTCCTTTTGGCTGATGGAAGTCACCAAAATTTCACAGGAATTCGCTGGTGTCCCTAGAAGGTTTTCATAAAAACTTACCACATATTCCTTAGACCAAAACAATCTGATACAAGTAGACTTATCTCAGTACAGAGTTGCTTAGTTTGGGCGCTAGACGGCTCTGAAGTTGCAATTTTCGAATCGTTTTGTCTTCATAACTTTGAAACGGCTCATGAGGTTTCACTCAAATTTGATACGTTCGCATAGCTTGATTATTTTAGTGTGAGGAATATGTGGTAAGTTTCTGTAAAAACCTCTTAGGGACACTGTATAGATTGAGTGGGAATTGTCTCCTGATATTTCTGGGGATGATAGTATATACATCCATGAACAAAGTTAATATTTTTTATTCACCCATTCAGGAATTTTGATATTGAGTGAGTTATACCTCTTTGAAGGGGATGACATATCCATATCAGCAATTAACGAAATATATGATAATTAATTTCGCTCTTTTGGTCATTATGGTTAATCTTGATGAATTCTACAGCCTGTTGATGAAGATGACCCATATTTGAAAACACCCGTATACTCGGAATCGTACCTATATTATCCTCTGTCAATTCATTTCCGAAAATGTTTTATGTTTCATTTTCGACTATTGAAAGAAAGGTAATAGTATTTATTCATTGAAGTTCTTGATAATCTGTTGTGATAATGGTAGAATATTGATAGTTCTGCATGGGTAAGAGAAAATTAGTCTCAAATTCTAAAATGACATCACCATAGTCTCTGAAACTTTAAATATGTTGCCTCAGCTGTAAATTGAAAAATAGGACTGCTGCTATTTCTGGAATATTTTCCAGTTCTTGTTTTTCTCTGATATTGTAAATTTTGTAAAAATATATTTGGGTACAAAATTTACTGGCAAATCTATTCAAATTTTCTTGTTATAAGAAAACATGTACTAATTGTCTAGATATTCGTAGATCTTGGCCTTTTTTAATAACTTCTATTTTCCATTGCTGAGTGCTGTACATTCAATGCTTTGTAGTTTCACAATGCTTTATATAGTACAAATTAGAATGAATACACTAAAATGGAGTTCACATCTATAAATCAGAGAGAATCAAAGGTTTGTTGATTTTTTAATTTTTCATACATAGTGTAGACAGTTTTTAGAAAGTGAATTGTCTTTAATGAATCTTTTTATTAGTGTTTGAAACTTTGGATTTTACATTGTCAATATTGAAAAATTGATGTTTTTCATGGAAATTTGTTTTAACTAATAATTATCTATATGTAAAATCCTAATTCATTTATTCAGTCCTACCGCTGTTTTATTGAAGGTGAGTAAATTAACTTGAAATATCTATTTTCTATTTTGTTCTATACATCACTGACTAAATTGATTGAATACTTACTAAAATAAAAGATAGCTGCAGACACCAATCAACCTTCCCAGGTATAATCACCTATAGGATAGTTAGCAATGAAACTCTGAAACATTTTTCGATATTTGGCAAATCCTTTTGGTGGTTAACTTCTCAAATAGACTAAATAATCAACCTATTTATAATAAAAGAGATTCCAGGAAAGTATACTTCATCCGATTAATCATCGTTAATAACAACTAGCTAGTTGATCATTTAAAATCATATATATATTCAGAATCTGAAAAGTGGACCAATCTATAACCTTTTTAATCAAGATGTTATATTTTTTCCAATGGTGAACAGCACTAATCTAGATCAGTGGGCTTTTAAGGTTCAAATAATACTTCTGGGGAGAATCTTCTGTATTTCTTGAAATGCATGCCTTTCATGAAGCTGTCAGCTTCATACTTTCTTATGTGTGTTATATTTTGCTTCAGGGAATTGATTTCACAATTCGCGATGATTTTCAAATTATCTGCCTGAAATTTTTCAACCTCTGTATTTTGGTTTGACTGTAAATTTCTAGGTATTTGTAGATACAATATATGAATGACAATAAATTTCAATAGTATTTAAGTCAACGTAATTTAGTTTTAACCAATTTTGAGTAGCTGATTATCATTATATGCACGATTTGGACTTTTACTAGTTTACTAGTTCAGCTACCTAATGGTTTACCAGAATGAATGATTCATTCAGGACTAATGAAATAACCTTTTCGCGAAATATAAAATGAAAATTTCTCGTGGATGTAATCACGACAATGGACAAACAAATCCAACGATGAGAGAGAAAAAGAACCTTTTATTACGTCATCAGAAATTTATAGGTTTTCAACATTTTATTGAATCACAGCACTCATTTGTTTTGGTTGATGATGGCCCATGGTAAATCATTGGGTGAGTACAGTTAAAGAAGAGTAAATCGTGTAATAATGGCATTTAGTTTGAAGTATCCAATATTTACTGTAGTTTGTTTGCGTTGACTAGGAGGCAGCACATTCAGGCATGCACACAAAACTCACGCGCACAATATAGCGCATGCATATTACCCCCCTACCATACTAGATTTAGAAGCTGATTAAAAGTGGTGGTAAGTAGCTTTGCGCTATTTTATCTTAATTTTGCTCTAGCTCAATTTTATCTGTTCCACTTTTCTTGTGGTGGTGGTGGTGGTTCAGTCAAAATCATTAGAATTTTGCCTAATCAATATTGAAAACATTTTTGAATCAAATCATTACTTTTATCTTTCGAATGTATTCTGATTTTCCAGAGTGGGGTAGGATTTACTGTAAGTTTTGATGGAGTAAAATTGAATTATACAGGCTGTTTCTTGACGTCATATTGGAGTTCGTGATTTTTCTTCATACTATATATAGTACTGAAAGTTCCTATAAATGTATGTTTGGAATCGCATCGTCTTCGAGGTACACGCCGTCAAAGTTTGAAATTTTTCCACCCTGTACAGCTTTTCGCCAGTTAACTGAACGGATGTCTTATATGGAGTACTCAGTTTACATCAAAATTCGGAAAATGGTCTCGTTTTTTCGTGATTTCTCGAAAACGAGTACCAACAAACGGTTCTCTTTCTATATAAAATTGAACGGTCCTTGCTCACTTTTTAGTACCATACAAAAAATAATATCCTCCTAATAGCGCCACTGGAAATCTAGTTAGCCAAATAGTCAATAGGCCTTTTCATTTAGATGACAAATGACTATCTCTGTTTACATCTTGCATCCAACGACAGTGGCGGCCATTTTCACCCAAACACTTACGTCAATAATACCCGCCATATTCGAAATGGCCAATCAGCAATTTGTGTTGGAACTATAGCCAATGAGACTTCACCTTCGCATTACCCAATACATTTTTGGATCTAAAAACGAGCGCATGCGTCTCAAAAATATATCTAGAAGAAAAGGCCTATTACCCAGTAATTGAATGAAACTTTTTTTTCATCAACTTTGATATCCTGTATGTTGAAAACAAATCGAATTAGGACATATGCTTATGGAACATTTTAGTCCTGAAATAAGCCTTCGATATGTACATAACATTCAGAAACACCCTGTATCTCCAATAAATAGTGGTTCACAGAAATAATTTCCATCTATGCTTCAACCGATAGTCGAACGACACTCCTCTATTTCCTCATCAATCGTTACTCTCTCTCTCCCTAGATGTCGATGCAGTGGAAGAAGACGCAGAAGAGTCCAAATGGCAGGACAGGATCTCCTCGGGCTTCGACCGGCTGGTGGCGTTCGCGTCGACCGAACTCGACAAGAGGCGGCGCTCCACCGAAGGCAACGACAGCTGCAACACCTCCCCCGATTCGGGCATAGGCCACGGCGATCCGCCCCCCGTTTCGGCGCCTCTCCCTTCGAAGCAGCACCTCAAGCTGCACCCCAACGCGAAGCCCACCCTGTTCAAGATGCCGCCCAGCAAGGCCTATCTCGAGTCGCCCCCGATCCCGGACCAAGGGGAAGAAACGGGCCCGCCGCGCACGCCCTCTCCCACTTCGCCCGTGCCCGCCAAAGACGGGCTGGCGATCAACTTCAGTCCCGAGCCTGCGCACTCGGAGAAGAGCCCGACGCGGGTCAATCCGGCGCTGCTGAAGTACCAGCGGTATCCGGAGGAGAAGAAGAGGCCGGACGCGCACTTCAAGAAGAAGTTCTATTATCGGGAGCAATGGCGGGACGACGGGTGGTCGAAGGGCGAGGAGATGCCGAAGGATAAGTTCAGGCCGAAGGGTAAGGATTGGGATTGGAACAAGGAGCAGCAGAACGATTTGCATCATCTGGTGGGGGACGAGTGGGGCAGGTCGCGCGACCACTTCAACTGGAAGAATTGACGCCGTTTTCACTGTTTCTATGGCAGTTGGCGTGGGGATTTGGAGTTCTTTTAACGTTGTATGGGTAGGATAGAACCACCCAATGGCTGTCATGATATATTTCGATTTGCACCTACTCGATATTTTATTTTGAAAATTCTCAATTAAGTTGACTGTTACTGATTTTATTTCAATTGATTTTGTTTTCATTTCTTGGGTTGTTTTTTGATTTTCTTCTTTTTGTTCCTTGATGAAAAGACTTGTTTATGAGTGTGTTTTAAAGATATCATGATGGTTCCAAACATACTCCATTAAAAGTTGTTTATTTCCATAAGGCAAGTAAGCTCGAAAATTACTGCCATATTTGTGTTCACTGATGAATAGAGTCGAGATATTGACGAATTGGCGTGGATTATTTTGCATGGAAAAATGTACAATTGTATTCAATGTTATCACTGCCTTCAACAATGTTTTCATCTCATTGCTTCTAAATTATTGATCGAGCATTTAATTTATTGACACTGTAAAATATCTGTATATTATTTATGAATTAATCAATCTCCTAATGTAAATAAGAACCTAATCATAGTTGAAAAATTTAAGTACAACTTTTGTAAATAAATTAGTATAATGGGAAATTGTAGGTAAATTAATTATACTGAGTATTTCCAGTTCGGCGTTTCAGTGCTGACGTTCTTTTGGTAGCAGTATAGTTAGGTTACTTCAACTAATTCGATCTTTTTGTACCAAGTCTTGAGGGCTAGTATTTTATACTGCCACTTTTTTATATAAAAATAAAATTCAAGTACGTGTCACCAACATTTAATATGATTAGATAATTCATTAAGTAATGCTTGGCCACGTCACAAAAATTATTATTTTCCATTTTCCCAGTTCTTTGAGTATTCAGTCACAATTAATTTCATTTGATATTCTAATTTATTCAGAATGAGAACTCGACGAATCGAAATTTTCCAATGAAATTTCAATGTTCATATCAAAAATAGGTTATTCTAGTCTCTATCTGGTTTTTTCATTTAACCTATGAGTGTTTCTAATATTGAGCCAACTTTTTGGGAGTCGACCAGGACAAATTAAAAAAATTTTATCAAATTTTGTTTTTTTTTTCATTGATGATAGCTTTTGTTGATGTGACATGTACTCAGTCTACTTTTACTGAAGGAAAATATTTCGCACCATATATATATCCATAATTCTCTCTGTATGATGATACAGGGTAGGCACTAAAATTTCACTCTTGGACCATTTGAAATACAGAAGGAAAAATGACTGAGCATTTTTATGGTTTACTCTGTATAAGTTTTGTAATATTATAGAATGTTATTTATATTAATATAAATAGAATATGCATAAGTTGCTTTATAATTACATACATTTCTCTATGGCTGTCATTATTCAGAAACCTGCAGTAATAAACGAATTATATTTATAATAATATATATAATAACATCCTATGATATATCAAGTTTTATTGGTGATATTTTGTGCTTATAATTTCTTTATGATTTTTTGTTGGATAAGTTTGACTTTATTAACAATTATTATATTCATTATGTTGTTACATTATTACTTATGTTAATAGTCTATTTTTTTAGTGGTATTTTTATGTGTTAAGAATTTTTTAAACAGTTTTGTTTGTGAAATTTTATTTCATCATTTTCTTTCTTTCAGTTTGTTATTTTTCACTAATAATTATTTTTCATCTATTTCAATCAATATCAATATCTAGCCAAAGGTTAATTTTACCATAGTAGACTTATTGAGATGATATGAAGAAAGTTGCTAAATTTTCAAAAATATTCTATGAATAATTTGTCGACTCATTTTGGGCTGAATATTTTCGGATTTTTTGTGTTGACCGATGTCGAGATTGGAGATAGGATGTGAATAAGACTAGGGATAGATTATATGTTACATGTATTTGATAAGTCGGTAAATATGGTGTCACATACTGCCAATTATTTAATAAATATTGTATGTATTTATGTTTCAGTGTCTTTTGTACCAGTTTCCTGATCCACAATCCTTTTCCCAAGAAAACTGCTAAACATCATATTTTTTTTATCAACGAAGACTACAGTAGCAATTTGTGAAAGTAAGTACCTTGAAATTAATTTTCTGTTCACATTATCACAGGATACGGAAACTAGAATAAAAAATAAAATCTGCAATGCTCAAGAATCAATCTGGGTAGATGAAGATTTCAAGAAAACTTTGAGAAGAAGAAAAGAAGAAGCTTTGTGGTCCTCAACGTGTGCGATTACCGTGACGATACGAGAGTCTAAAGTTTTCGAACTGTTCCCAATCCTCATTGTCAGATTGAGTGAATCTATGCATTCGGTCCTAGAAAAACCAAATTGTTGGAATTATTACTACACAATCATCACAGTGGACTGACACCATGCTATTAGTGGACCAGAATAAAACTCCCTGACCAAACTCAGCCTTCACAATTTTATTGCGAAAAATAAGCATAAAAAACGAATGTCAACCACGTGATGGGAATGGTTCGAAAGATTTAGGCACTTCTGTGGCGATTACCAGATACCTGATTTTCTCATGGTAAGTTACAAAAAATTTAGAATCCGATCGTTGGGTATATTTTTTACGACGACTCGACGACATATGATAAAAACAGAAGAAGAAAACGAGTCTATATTAACCTCAAAAATTGGTCGCGACGTTTGAAAAATAAATAATAATAATCATGTGGTCTACAGTGCATCAGATTGATAATCTGTTTTATCTATTTTGATATGTGGCAATAAATACTCTTAAGTTCGTTGGGCAAGAATTCAAATAGTTGAGGTTTGTGAGCGTATTATGGTTTTAAATCCCATAGTTAAACAAGTATTGTATTTCACATTTGGTTTTGAAGGAAAGTGATTTCATTAAAAATTTATTATCATTACATTATTACTACATTGGAACACAATGATTGTGTTCATAAATTACATCACACTATGACACTAACGAGTTGGGCTTCTCTTATGTTTTATAATTATAATGTAGTGGTAATGTATATAATATAATATAATTATAATGAATGTTTCATGAAACCACCTTGTGAATTATCTGCATGTCAAAGTTCAATGATTAAACTCATTTTAATACGATTTGGTTCTTGGTTGCAGGGAGAAAATACTAGTAACCAAAGCAAGACCCCTGTGATAGTTGAGCAAAAATTTGGAAATGAACTTCAAAGCAGCTCAGGCTATTGTGCTCACATTAGTAGGATGTATGCTCAATAATGTTTTCTTAGAATACATAATAAAGTGAGTGGTCAATTCTTTCTTACAGTAAATAGTTGTTCTTATAGCAAATTATTTTCATCTTTAGGTTAGATCCTGGCTCTGGTCATTTAATCACATTCTGCCAGTTTCTTTTCATTGCTCTTCATGGATTTATATTTACCTCCAAGTTTGGAACTGTCAAGCCAAAGATTACACTCAGGGATTACATGACTCTAGTTGTATTTTTCTTCACAACTAGTGTTGTGAATAACTGGGCATTTGCATTCAACATTCCTGTTCCACTACACATGATTTTCAGAGCTGTATGTCACATGATCTGAAAATTTTTAAATCTATTATTGAAATAATGTATGTTTTAGGGCTCTCTAATTGCTAATATGATACTGGGTATTGTTATCCTGAAAAGACGTTATACATTGGAGAAATATGTTTCTGTAGCTCTTATTACCTTGGGGATTATCATTTGTACTCTGTATTCTACTAAACCAAAACAAACAGTAAGATACCAATGAGCTGGAGGTGAAGCTTGAAAAATACATTTTTCTTCCATTCTGATTTCAGGCCTGTTATGACTGTGATCCTGATGCCATAAATGTTCCTGGTGAAGTTCCAGCTGACCACTTTTTCTGGTGGGTTATTGGAATTATTTTGTTGACTGGTGCATTGTTGCTTTCTGCTGGAATGGGGATTTTTCAAGAACAACTGTACAAGAGACATGGAAAGCACCCACAGGAAGCCTTGTATTATACGGTAATTGAAAGAATAATGCCTAGAAATTGCTCCACAATCTATTACTCTCTTTTTGACACTGAAATTTTTGCCACTTGCAATGGGATCTGGATTTTGAAAGTCACTGGACAACAAAAAATAACATGATTGGTGCATTCCCTTCTGTTGATATGATTATTTTTGCAATATACACATTGATAAAATGCACATTGGCACTATGAATTTTTGTCAATTTTGGATGAGGTAAAGAGATGAGAGATAGTTTGTATGTTCCACAAAAGTGCTTCAATTAATGCAGTTTCAATGTGGTTAATAATATTTATATTTGGAATGAAAATGTTTTCACATGTTGATACTAGTGTTTTTACAGCATTTGTACCCCATACCTGGATTCCTCATCTACTCATCAAGCCTTCTGGAGCATGCTGCTATTGCTAATAACAGTGAAGCCTTCAATATTCCATTCCTGAACCTTGAAATGCCTATAATATGGGGATTTTTGCTGTTGAATGTCATCACACAATTCTTGTGTATTAGCAATGTATATGTATTAACTACAGAATGTACATCTCTCACTGTTACTCTTGTTATCACTCTGAGAAAATTCTTCTCCTTATTGTTTTCAATCATCTATTTCCAAAATCCCTTTACTGCTGCTCATTGGGTAGGCACTATTATGGTTTTCAGTGGAACATTGATGTTCTCAGAAACTCATCATAAACTGAAAGAATTGATTGCTCCTAGTCCTAAGACTCAGAAAAAAGAATGATAAATAATAGAAGCATGAGAGATTGTCGTTCATAAAAAAAGGGTGTTTGTAATACTAGTTGAAAATGTTACAGTTATGAAAAGAGACATTTCCTCACATTGTACTTCTTCACTATTATAAACCACACATTTTGAGCTGTGCTAAACTTCTGTTTTGCCTAAGGACAAGTCAGTAACATTATTTTATTAGTGTACATGCACCCTTTCTCTTGAAAATGTTAAATTGTGAATGTTTAATTGTTTGGTTGGTTGGTTGGTGGTTTTTATACTTTAACCAACAAAAATAAAATTGGTTCCAGTTGTATTTCATAAGAGTTCAGTTATAATGTTGTTTGAGTACTCAAAGAAGTTCTCACCTCTTCTGTCAATGAAGTTTTTTGTATAAAAAAAGAATTTAAGGGCTTGTAAGCAGTTGGTCATTGATTTCATAAAATGAGTGACTAATGCATTAATATGCTGTTAACTTTCTAGTCTAGTAGATTTTCATGTATTATTGAAAAGTGTATGTTATGTACAAGATTATGCAACCTCTGGACCAACTGCAATGCAATGCTCAGGAATGTACATGAAGGCTGTGCAAAGATTATAATTATTATGTACCGGGTGACTCACGTATGTATGTTTTAATTGAAGTTGGTTGTTTTATTAAATATTGTATATTCTAGGACATTATAATCGCCATGTGAACAAGCATTTCTTCTCAGCTCAAAATTTTGCACAAGTCCTGTAACTGATATCAATAGACTTTTTCTACCACTTTGTGATCTTCTGTAAATACTGGTATTATACTGTGAGTTATGGAATATTAAAGTGTATAGGACCTGGGAGTCAAAAAAAACTCAATCTGAGATTTCATCAAAAATAATTGTATATAATATATAATTATATTCACAAGCATATCTATGGGACTTGAACATAGGGATGTTATGGTATATTGACTCCAGAAAAGTGAAGGACAGAGTTCATAGAATATGCTTCTGATAATGATGATGATTGGTACTTACAAACGTCAATTATTGACGTTTGTAAATACCAATCGATCAATTGAAATTGTTCTACTACCAGGAATCTTTAGGTCCTAAGATATCTATGAAGAACGGTTGCAAAACTAAAAACTGTATGGCGATTATTATAGGATCCAAAATTGTCACCAAACACTGTTAAAAATCAAATAAAAATGTTGAAATTATCTGATATTTTGTTTTTATTTCAGTTCAGGTTAACCCATTTCCAGAGATGTTCTATATTGGAGTGTTTTATCGAAATATTTATAAAATGCCTATGAAATACCCATTTTCATTTCTGCTCTCCTGATACTCGAATCTAGAATTTTGCCTCTTTGAAAACCGGATTTGCATTTTTGATAGACAAACTCTATACCTCTTCTCATTTATTCTGCTCTCCTGATAAATGAATTTGTATTTTGCATGCTCAAAATCGGATTTTGCATCTTCGAAAGACGATTCAATACCTCTTCTCATTTCTGCACTCCTGATACATGAATTCAGATTTTTGCCTGCTCGAAATCGGATTTTGCATTTTTGATAGACGATTCAATACCTGTTTCCATTTCTGCTCTCCTGATACTCGAATCGAGATTTTTGCCCGCTCGAAATCGGATTTTGCATTTTCGAAAGACGATTCAATACCTCTTCTCATTTCTGCTCTCCTGATACTCGAATCTAGAACTTTGCCCGTTTGAAACCCGGATTTGCATTTTTGATAGACAAACTCAATACCTCTTCTCATTTCTGCTCTCCTGATACATGAATTTGTATTTTGCATGCTCAAAATCGGATTTTGCATCTTCGAAAGACGATTCAATACCTCTTCTCATTTCTGCACTCCTGATACATGAATTCAGATTTTTGCCTGCTCGAAATCGGATTTTGCATTTTTGATAGACGATTCAATACCTGTTTCCATTTCTGCTCTCCTGATACTCGAATCGAGATTTTTGCCCGCTCGAAATCGGATTTTGCATTTTCGAAAGACGATTCAATACCTCTTCTCATTTCTGCTATCCTGATACTCGAATCTAGAACTTTGCCCGTTTGAAACCCGGATTTGCATTTTTGATAGACAAACTCAATACCTCTTCTCATTTCTGCTCTCCTGATACATGAATTTGTATTTTTGCATGCTCAAAATCGGATTTTGCATTTTCGAAAGACGATTCGATACCTCTTTTCATTTCTGCACTCCTGATACATGAATTCAGATTTTTGCCTGCTCGAAATCGGATTTTGCATTTTTGATAGACGATTCAATACCTGTTTCCATTTCTGCTCTCCTGATACTCGAATCGAGATTTTTGCCCGCTCGAAATCGGATTTTGCATTTTCGAAAGACGATTCAATACCTCTTCTCATTTCTGCTCTCCTGATACTCGAATCTAGAACTTTGCCCGTTTGAAACCCGGATTTGCATTTTTGATAGACAAACTCAATACCTCTTCTCATTTCTGCTCTACTGATACTCGAATCTAGAACTTTGCCCGTTTGAAACCCGGCGATTTGCATTTTTGTTAGACAAACTCAATACCTCTTCTCATTTCTTCTCTCCTGATACTCGAATATAGAATTTTGCCTGTTTTGAAACCCGGATTCACATTTTCGATAGACAACTCAATAACTCTTTTCACTTTTGCGCACCTGATGATACACGAATATCTATATATATTTGCCTGCATTTTCGATAGAGGTGATTCGCCTCTTCTCATTTCTGCTCTCCTGATACATGAATTCAGATTTTTGCATGCATATCCGATTTCGAGCAGAAATAGTCTAATTTCATGTATCAGGAGAGCAGAAATGAGAGGGTATCAAGTTATTGTCTAACGAAAATGCAAATCCGGGTTTCAAACTGGCAGAATTCGAGATTCGAGTATCAGGCGAGGAGAGTAATGAAAGAAAGTATTGAGTTTTCCATCGAAAATGTGAAATCCCATTTCGAAAAGGCAAAATTTCGATCACGTATTCTGCCGACTATAAAGAATTCATTTCAGCGATATTCCTGCCAATTTTTCTAATGTTTGAATGCAAATGTCTTGAAAACCAAAGGAGATAAGAAGAAACAAACCTTAGATTTTTGTTCAGCACATCGAGAACATCCTGTATATGAGTTTTCAGCTCATTTTGAGGCCTCGAAATATGTTAAAGAAGTTGAAAGGGCCTTCAAATTCGGTATCTAGGCCACATTAGGGATTAGGGATAGAAGAAAAAGAGATTTTGTACCCCTTTTGGACTAAATTTTTTATACACTGTGCATGTCTGAAATGAATGCGAAATCGAGTTGATGGCAGTGATTTGCAGACGAATTCGTGTTAAAGGCGATATTTCTACGATTTTGAATGTTATTTTTGGTTTCTTAAAAATGCTCATATCTAGAAAACTAATGAAGATACGACGACCCTTCCTCATTTCTGCTGTTCTGATACACAAATCTCAATTTTGTCTTATTCAAATTCGTATACGTATACGATTCAGAACCTCGCTTCTTATATTTTTCTGCTTCCAGATTTTTGCCTGCTCGAAATTGGATTTTGTCTTTCCATAAACGACTCAATATTTCTTCTCACTTCTGCTCTTCTGATACACGAATCTCGAATTTTGCCCGTTTGTTTCATCAATACCGTTTCTAATTTCTGCTCTCCTGATAAACAAATCTGGATTCTACCATTGTGAAATGAGATTTCTCATTATCAGACCCAACAATCAACTTCCGTAGGACCTTGAAATTTGGTATACAGGGTCCTGAAAGTTATTCCCTACCGCTCCATAATAAAACAAAAGATAATTCTTAAAAAGAATTTATTCACTTTTAAAACTGTAGCAATAAAATTATTTAAATTTTCTAAAATCCTTCAAACAATACAATAAAAGTGCTTTTTATACAGAGAAGTATAAAAAAAATCTACAAAAATATTGACTGCAGTGAAATTTCACCCGTTGAAAGAAATTCCTAGACAATCAGAATCCAAACACAAAAGTACAGTGGTGATCATCTTCATCCTTTTTCTTGCACCACATAGCAAAGCGCAAGGCATTCATTCCAAACCAAACCCTATCAGAGTCAGAGAATATGTTTCAGTGTCTCAACTGTCAATCTCAAGTAAAAACAATAAAACTGAGTATACAGATTAACTCACACTATCAAGAGTAACATTATGCATTATGCCAAACCTTAAGCTATACATATCTTGGACGTCACAACAGTTAGAAATAATCAACAAGTCTCGTCATTTCACTAACAAATCGAGATCAAGTCGCCTTGCGTTTCAGTTTCCAACATACATATACATACACTGAGTGTCACCGTCTCACTGTCTTTATAATACAATCTATGTGTACAAAAATAAAGTAAACTGCAACTGAAACATCACATCTCGAACATTTCATACCATCTAGAGCTCATAAATTTCAAGTTTGCAAACATTTTCCACTGACGTCTACAAACCCAACATTTTCAGTTTGAATGGATTTTATATTACTTTTCAATGATACACAAGTGTGATAATCAGACAAGTCATCAACTTCCAGGAAATATCACTTCATTGGTTATCACCCTTTTCTTTATTTAAAAAACAACTATTTGCGTCAAATAGGAATTTTGCTCAAAATAACAGAATTTTGTTACGATTTCAAAGAATCACGACGTTGCTTCCATTCTGGGATAAAAGTTGATGAGGTGGAATAAGAATCAATGTATTTGCAGTCAAATATCATGATCAGAGTAATGAAAAGTTCCTGAAAAAGATATTTCTTTCAAAAGCTTGTAGGCTCGGCTGGCCCAGTTACCAAGTATTTCCGACGTAACTGGAATCTTCCCTCTCAGCATGAGCACAAGCTATGTTAGGATAGTGTGTGATTATTGAAATATTTCATTGAGTAAAGGAAGGTTCTTCTGTATCAACTGTATCATAGTTCAACGTGGTCAATTGGTATCAAAGGAGATGTGAAAATAAACCAAAGGTACTGAAAACCTTCAGTCAATTTCATGTGAAGAGTATGTTTTATACACTTCCTATAAACCCTTTTTCCCCGTGTTCAATTAAAGTACCTAGTTTGTGGATAAGGAAATGGAATTTCAGACAAATCTATAATCTTGTCAAGATATTATGACCTCTTGGAAATGACAAAAAAATCGAGATGCAACATTTGCAGCATACTTCTTATAGTTCAGTCGGCAGCGCAGTAAAAATAACCTGGATTTGACAGTGGCGTGAGGTAACATTGACTCTTGCAGTAATCCTTGTTCAGTGAGCCCATAAGATATCACACAACTTTATTCTAATTTCGCGTAAGTATTTCTGAGAATAACAAATGAAATACGTGTGAAAAATAAGCAATTCAAAGAACTAGTTGACGTGTTTCACCGGTTCTACTCTCGAATATATTGAGCTGAAATTCAAATTAATTGTTGTGGGATTTTATGGACTCGCCATATGAAGGGTGTTTCAGTTCAAATCTGCTTCTGTATATCAATAAGAAAGTAATAGAACATTCATTTGGATAAGGACCTATTGATGTTAAGAAAATCAAAACGAAAATATTGGGTGACTACTTCTTATTCAAGATGTTATTATTATCTCATTTTACTGTTCTCCCATCTGTCAAAAACCTACACCACCTCACGCCCTTGCAATCCTATGTCTGTACAGGGTGACTATGTAACTATGGATTTCACGACTCCTAACAGCTGAAATCTCGGAAACCAATCGAGATATTTGATATTACAAAGAAAAAATGCATACCATTCAAGCGATTTTATATTTATTTCACTTCATATGGACATATGCTCTGAACCTCTCGACTTCTGAGCTAAAGGGTGTTGAAATTTGATTTTCTCTTGAAATTGCAGTACCCTATAGCTCGAAAGTTAAGAGGTTTAGGGCATATGTTCATATGAACTAAAATAAGCTAAGGACTCGTATATCCTACATGTTAAGTCATCAATTGAATAACACCCTGCATACTGGAATCTCGCATAAAAACCACGCTAAAATAGAATTCAAAGAAACGAGGAATCGTTTCATTACTTCAATCACATGATTCGATGGTAAATACCTAACCGAGTATTACAACCCGATCCGAGAGAAGTGAGTATGAAAGAATACCTCACCTTAAACCAAACGGAGAAATGAAATTAGTGTGACACAGTTCGAAAGATAACGACACCCCATCCCAAACCCTTCTTCAATCCCTCAAATATCTCGATTCTTTCCCAGAACCCGAGCCGTCTCATCCGCGATAGCCACAGTCAACGTCTCCCCCGACCGCCCTACCACCCCCTCACTCGAACGTTGTATTGAACATGTTCAGATCCTCGAACGACGCGGCGCCACCTTGATCCAGCATCTGCAGCATGTCGCTCAACTCGTGCGGCTGCGGCTGTGCGGCCGGCGGCTCTCGCGGAGCCGCGTCGGTCGCTTGCGGCTGCGCCTGCGCCTGTGTCTGCCAGCTCGTCCACTGGTAGGCGGGGCCTGCAGCGGCCCGCCCACCGCCGCTCAGTTGGGTGTACGTGGGACCGGGCGACCTCGGGCTGGGCTGGCCGTACTGGTAGCCGCCTCCGTCGTTGGGGGCGGGCGGGGGCTGGCGCAGGCTCCACGCGGCCGCCGCAGGGGTGGGGCTGGTCGTGGGACCACCCTTGCTCAGTCTGGCGAGCACGCTGGCGCTGCTGCTGCTGGAGACAAGCGGATGTTAGCTGAGGTGGGATCACGTGACTGGCAGAAGTTAGCAACGAATACATTTGATCAACTTTCACGGGAGTTGAAGGAACATTCTTCGATGCATTATGAAAAAATCATCATCATTCAGAAATGGAAAACCCACAATTTTTCAGATGTGTTCTAGAAAGCGTCAACCCAATTCCAGAGTGTCATTTCATTTGAATTTCATAATAGTCAATTGAAGTTCAGAATTTGTATTTCAGAAAATATTATTTGGATTCTAGAAAGCATCATTATTTTCCGAGTATAAAAGAGTGTTTTATTTTTAAATACGATCAATAAAGGTTCGAACCTCGTTTTTAGTATCAAATCCATTTTATATATCCATAAACAATAATGACACAATTAAAAATATACAATATATAATACCTATGTCCCACTAAGTTGGAACCATAGGGAAAATTTGTTTATTATTCATTTTAAGGAAAGAGTACTTAATAGAAAGTTTGTCATGTTCTAGAAGCTAAAATACAATCATCAGATATCATATTTTTTAGTCGTATTATACGCGGTGTGTCTAATGTGAAGGTACTTTACTCTTGAGTACAATTCACATATTTTGACACACCGTGCATACGACTGAAACAATTTGATATTTGATGATTCTATCCCAGATTTCAGAACATGCAGAACTTTTCATGAATAATAAGAATAACTATTTTTCTTAAAATGAAAAATAAAAAAGCAGTTTTCCATTTGGTTCCAACGTACCAACTTTGTAAGACAAAATATATATATTTCTCCAATGAATTTCAGTACTTACTATCATTTTCAAATGAATAAATGAATGTAAAAACTTTACAACCGATAAGATTTCTACAAAATTCTTAAACACACAACATGTTTCGCTAACACAGTAGCTTCGTCAGGTGATATACTGGAGCAATGAACTAAACCAACCTTGGCTTGCTTTAGTATTTATACATCCTACTTTCAAAAAGATTCAAAAAGATTAGACCCACTTCTAATAGAAACACCCCTGTATCTTACGTAATCGTTGGGTAAGGATCCTGACATTTGCTGGAGCGAGAGATATGCCAAAGATACACTCTATGACCAAGTGGGGTCATCTTCAGTGATATACAGTGCTCGCCGGAGTGGTTCTATGGCTGTTGGCGAACAGTGTATAGCACTGAAAAGGACCCCACTTGGCCATAGAGTGCATTTTTGGTATATCTCTCGCTCCAGCAAATTCCATCAGGATTCTTACCCAACGATTACGTGAGGTTCAGGGGTGTTTCCATTAGAAGTGGGTCACCCTGTATATACACATATCCCGCTCACCTGCAGGTGGCGCCGGCCTGCGACGGCGAGCCGTACGCGATCGGCGACGGCGTCGGCTCGTAGCCCGCGTAGACGTTCTGACCGCTGGCGGGGCGGGCGGCCTGCTGCGCGTCGGCCAGCAGCCGCGGGTAGCGCGCGTCGTCCGCCCGGTCGGGGCAGCCGGCCGCCGTCGACATGGGCAGGTACTCGCTCTGGATATGTTGGCTGGTGGGCAGCATGTGGGAGTAGAGGCCGGGGTCGCGTCGCTGCAGGCTGGAAGAGGAACATACAGTTCTCAACACACTGAATGGACCACTAATAATTTGACTCTATTTCGAAGACCTGTATTTTTTGAAAAAACTGACCGATCTTCATGGGCTTTTTTTATATCAGATGTGATTTTTCATCGGCTTCAAAGAGAGCTAGATCACATTGAAAAAGTCCGCATAACAAAACTTGCACAGGGTGTAAAGTGGAACCATTACACCATGGTCTACATTTCCAATGCTGCCAGAACTCGAGAAATTTTTTTCTGATCGAAAGTCAGTCATATTATGATACACTGGGACCTCATCTCGGGACGTTTTCGTGATTTCTCCTTAATTGGCCATTGGAACAAAAATTTGATTTTTTTTCGAAAGTCTCGCATTTCTCGCGCCATATACAGAAATAGTACATATATGATTATTCCCATATATGTACTGTATATATGTGTGTGCTCGGTCCGGGACCTGACGCACTTAGGCCTCTTTTTTTGAGCCCATTGTGCACCCACATTCCTGGGATCGCAAGTCAGCCATGGAGAAGGCCGATCTCGCGAGCAAAAGAGACCAACTTTCTAGGCCAAATCTTTTTAACATCCTCTGGGTCCAGGATACTGCTCCCAAAATGGATATCCCTTGCTGCCACTACTGCCGGGCATTCAGTGAGGATGTGAGTAGAAGTCTCTTCATCCTCTAGGCACCATCTGCATTCACAATCCCGATCGTGCTGAAATGTTTATTCAGGTGTCAGTGCCCTGTCAGAAGGCCCACCACCAGATTCAGCTCCTTCCTGATCAAAGCCAAGAGGGCATTGGTCTGTCTTCGTGACGGGTTTCCTATATGGAGTTTGGACTGCCTCATTCTAGGAGCCTTCCTCCAGCTGTCCTGGAACCTTCCCGTCAGGATTTCCTTCATCTTGAAGTTGCTCCAGGATCGAGTGACCCCTAAGATTGGCTCTGGGCCAATCACTGAACCCTTCTACCCCTGAGTGTCCAGGGACCCACAAAAGACATACTTTGTTCGATGCTGACAGCCTTTGTAGGCTATCTATGCACTCTGACACCAAGGCGGAGGTCAGCCTATACGAGGTGAGCGCCTTGATCGCCGCTTGGCTGTCAGTGCATATAGTGATTTGCTGGCTGTGATAGCCCCTCTCGATATTCTCTCGAACACATGCAAGTATTGCAAATACTTCAGCCTGAAAAATCGTGGCATGTTTCCCAAGGGTATAGTAATGAGTAATATATGTACTATTTCTGTATATGGCGCATCGCCTATACGATATCCCAACAAAAATGGGACCAAAATGAAAGGTACTTTTTGAATTTATAAGGACGGAAAGTGAAGGATGGAAACAGCCATATTGGTTTGACAAGTTTCGTATTATTTTTTCTCTACATCGACATCAACGCCTATTGGTATTGAGTAGTAGATATAAGATTATTCCCCACCATTCGTGATGCCATTCATTTATCTGTGTATGGCGTTTAAGATACTGATTCATGAAAAAATGGCGGGGTCTATATATTCCCCCGTGTACGTACCTATAGTCCAGGCCCGGCTGCTGGTAGGCGACCTGCTCGGGCGCCTCAGCCGGCGGCGCTTCGCTGGTCGAATGCAGCGACTTGGCGGTGGTGTTCGTGCACACGATGTACTCCACCTCGTCGGTGTACGGGTTGAGGAAGGAGAACGCGCTGGTGCGCAGCCACACCCATTCTCTGTTCTTCGCCCGGAATCGGTACATCACCGAGAGGACTTGCCCTTTCAGTTTCAACACTGGAAACCGAAAAAAAAAACGTGTATCGGTATTAGATAGTTTTGAGTGGTAAATCACATTGCTCTAATCGAGTTTCCGCGTGAGATTTGTTTGATACAAGTTGATTTCCAATCAAAACCCCGGAAGCTCTGTAAAATTGTTTAGCGTTTTCAAGACAATTATCGACTGGTGTAGGACCAATTATTGTATACACCTTAATGCAGGAAAAACACAAATGGTGCGATCCCACAATCGACAGAAACAATGTTCCTCTGAATAATTTAATATCAAAGATGAAGTGATTCGGAGTGTATGTACGAGCAAGTTCTTAGATATCGGCATCGATGCAAACCTGAATTGGAAACACTGCTCTGACTTGATAGGTAAAATTAACTCAATTTGTTATCTCTTGAGAAATCTAACAAGAGACATCTTAACTGAACATCAACTCCTTGCTCAGTATCATGCTCAAATTGTTTTACAGGTTAAGATATGGTATAATATGTTCGTGGGGTAACTCTACGGCGGTGCCGGACATATTCATAGCACAGAAACGTAGTGTAAGAGTGATAGCTAGAGTTCCTAGAAATTTTTCCAGTAGAAACTTATTCAAATATTTCAAAATTCTGACACTATTCTCAATGTACATATTGGAAATGTCAGTTTATATTTTCAAAAATGAACAAAAATTCCTCTTCAATGAGGAAACTCACAAAATGAACAATCGTCAAAAACATGACTTTCACGTTCCTTATCGAAAATATAAAATCTCAAAAGATATGCCATCTGTGATGGGACTCGTATTTTTCAATAAATTACCGAAGGGTATAACACTGAAAACAAATTTTAATGAATTTTCTCGATTGCTGAAAATATATTTATTGGATAAATGTTACAACCTTGATGAATTCTTCGACTCATAGATAGGTTGAATGTCTTTCCTTTATTCTCTGTTTCATTTTTTGGTCAGGTGTGTTTAGGTAGGTGTGTATGAAAAATTGTGACGATTTCTATACATATATATATATATGTATGTCCAAAGAAAAATAAATGAATTGGAGGGTTGTTAATGGTTTGAAACAATTTAACGGGGCATTGATTGGTTCTGAATTCTTGAGGTGCTTTCAATCATATTTTCCATATTGTGTCTCTCCTAGAGTATGTAAGCTGATGTTTATATGTTTCACGGTAGATGGAGAATAAGAGGTTTACGTAAATAGCCGCTGATATAGCATATAATGTGATTTTAATGACATTTCATGGGTGCAGCTAGGTGTGAATGAAATAATCTCAAGAAGGCATTATGAATATGAAATTAATATGCAATAGTTTAAAAAGTTTAAAAGCTAATGCAATCTTAGAGAAAATGGACTATGGCATGGAGTCGATTCGAGAGTTTATGTTTGTCATGTCATAAATAAAATACGCTGTGGTAAAATGTCAGATGAGTGCAATAAAGAATCACTATTGATACTAAAAATAGCTCAATAAAGGTTTGTTTTTTGCATGAACGTAGAAAAAATATATTTTTCGAAATTGCAGCAGCCGGACAACTGATGAGGCTGGTTAGCTGCAACCCACTAAGCAAACTTGGAAGCTATGTGTATGCAATATCGAAGCAATCACTAAAACGGACGTTCAGCAGTATTGCAAAGGTACAGTTTGACAATATAACATTGTTGTGACAGCTGGAACGTTACATTTACAAATTTTACATTTGCAATATAGCTTCCTACATTGCTTAGCGGAAACAGCCCCAATAAAAAATTGTGTCCCCCACCCCAACCGTCAACGCACCTTGTTCGAAGCTGTCCTTCATGTGCGTCTGATCCTCGGGATGGAAAAAATCGAAACAGCTCTTCCCGAGCAGCTCAGGCGGCGCGTACCCCAACAGCCCGATCACCCTTTGGTCCACGAACGTAAACTTGCCGTCCATCGAATGTCGGGAGATGAACTCGGCGCCGCCGCCGGACCCCGCCATGTCGCTGGTGTTCGGCGTCGAGGTGACCTGCAGCCGGCCGATGGCCACCAGGCAGCAGTGCGTCTGCGCGTGCAGGTCGTCCTCCGTCTGTCGGTCGAGCTGCACGCCTGGGAACATGTCTGATGTTTTTCGCGCTTAGATCGGTCGGTGAAGTTGTTGGATATGAAGAGGATGAAGTGTTTCGGCCGGCGCACCCGGGGAAGGGCAAGGTTTGGCCCCGACACAATGTCAAAAACAGCATCAACCCTGATTTATAGATACCGTAACGCACCTCAACGTTATAATCAACGTTCTGGAATCAGTACCGTAAGACGATGAAATAAAGTGGGCATTTATAGATTTTCCTGAATTTGACACTCGCCAATATTGTCATACCTATCAATTTGTATTATTGTTCATGTTCAGACTATCGAGTATCTTCTGCAATTAGCATTGTTTCAAAGATCGAGGGTCAATCTGTTCAAGGTAGTCCAATGGATGATAATATGGATTATGAGTATGTTGCACTGCTACAGCTGGGAGTGGGAGTTCTGTTATCTGCGGCAGCATTAGGAGCTACCGCAAATCGGAATTGTCCTCAGTTCATGTCCAAGAAGAACAATCCCCAACAATTTTTCAAATATACTCCGATGGATTCGAATCGTTGCAACCACCTACTCCAGCTTTATTAGCACACATCAAAAAGCAACAAATAGGTATCCTACATGATCTTCCTCGAAGAAGAGAAGGATATTAAGAAGAGTTTGCATCAATTACTTCATCATCAATGAATGAATAAATTGAAGTTACCAGATTTAATCATAATCCGTACCGTATCTGTGCAATCTCATTCTTACGAACTAGTTTCCTTATTATTGTAATAACTGTAAATATAAAATGGAATAATTCTCGATGAGGCTTCTCAGCACTCCGTAATCAGCATTGTATGTAGAACAATTATTATATAAGTAATATCTTAGTCAATTCCAAATGTTTACCTCCTCTCTGCATGACGTTTTCTGTCACCGTTCCACAACGCGAACATAGAATGATGGAAATGGGCATATCTCGCGTTGCATCCAGAATCAGAATCAGAATCAGAATCAGAATATTCTTTATTGTCAGAAGAAGAAGCTCTTGTAGACAAAGAGAATATAAAACATAAGTACGTAACATACAATAATAGAAATTTAAAACAATGTGAAAGATAAAATATGGCATGAGAAGGATCATCATGTGGTATAACGATTTACATTTCTAAGATGAATACTAAAACACATCACTATAATATTCCTTTAATTCATGTAATCAGCAAATAGCTATTTGAGACTCTTCCTGAATATTTTATGATCTTTGATGTCCTTTACGTAGGTAGGTAGGTGGTTATACATCTTCAATCTATTATATATAACCGATTCTTTGATCAGGGTAGTCGATGGTAAAGGTAATTTCAGATGATTTTGTTGCCGAGTTATATGTTCTGTTGAATTATTTTTTAATTTTATTTTATTTATATGAATTAGGCTGACTGATTCTACAATGAAAAGTGAAGTGAGATTAAGAATACATGATCAGTGTTTTGCGAAACGACAATCTATAAACAGTACTGGAAAAATCCTATGTTTCATCTTCTATCGTGTGTGTAACATATACTTGCGTTCCGTTATGTTATTGAATCTATAAATCAGGGGTTAGAATAGCAGATTAGAATATATGCAGGGCGGTAAGTTTTGAAATATAAGCCCTCTATGTTATCTATAAGGTGCCCAGACTATTAGAAAATCATCTTGTAATAATAATTTTATAGAAAGAAGAGAGATTGCTCCAAAGATATCTAGAGAAATTCACATAACTTCTCCTATTCTGTCATGGAATGGGCGGGTGGGCTGAATTTCTAGGCGTTTGGAAATTACAGTGGCAAAACTTCTAAAAAGAATATGAATTTGATTGAGTGACGATTCTATTCCAGAAATTAAAAAAATGAGTCCAGTTAGTAGTTCAGCTTTCGCCAAACAACTCCCGGGTGCGCTGGCGACTGTCTCGAACCGTTTCATATTAAACAAACCGGGCGTCCCCTTACCTGAGGGCGGCCAATTTTTGATGTACCCCGTACAGTGGACGACCGCGAAGTTCTGCCCGTCCCGGCTCGGCCCGAGGCTGTTCCGCTGCTTGAGCCGGTTCAGGTGGCCGGCGGCCATGCTCTCGGCCGGCAGGTTGCCTACCTTCATCCGACAGATGAAGCCCCGCCTCGAGCCCATGCATAGCCTCATGGAAGCTGGAAAGTCAAGGAGTAAGTACATCAGGATGCCTCAATTCGATCTGACGAATAGCCATATATGTGATAAACCTAGAATCTCAAGACTAAGAGATTCTAGGGAAATTTCGTGAATCGATTGTCAGCTGATGCAAGACAGACTGTTTCGACTTGCCATAAGTCTCATCAGTTGCACTGGCCAGCTGACAATCGATTCACGAAGGGTACCTCCATATATCAAACAAGTCGAAGCCCTGAGGGGGCAGAAGGACGATCTAGCCTTCATAGCCATCTAGTGGCTAAGTGCAAAGGTGTATGGTAGATTCATCAATCATACCTTGCGAGTAAGTCCATATATGTAATATCACAAGTGATACTACTAAAAATTTCAACTATCATCTCAATACCAAAAATTGCAAACCCACACAATGCTTCTGATTTGAGGCCAGTCAATATTTATTCATTTATTTATTGATACAATACATCCAGCAGGCCCAAAAGCCCATTTACAGGTGTATACAATTAGCATTATGAATAATTACACATATAACAGAATCAATTCTGAATGAAACGGAGAATCTCTATTTTGAATTGTTTGAACGTTAGAAAGAAAATATCTACACTAGGAACCTTATTGACACTTCTAGATATAGTAGATATGGGAGAATTAAAATGATGCACTGTATTGGAAATAGGAATATAAAATGTGCTACAAAACCTAGATGAAATAAGCGGTACATTGAAAAGCATATGAGACTATAGGGGTGCACAATCTATTTCTCCATGTATCTCGGCTAAGTTTCATTGAAAAAATTCTCGAAATGACAGTTTATGAACAATTAGTAGGCTTTGTAGAGGAAAATAAGATGTTAACAATGTTCAGTCAGGTGCGTAGGACCAAATGCCGGAAGTGATAACTTCTATGGCCGGTTAGTATTTCTAATATCTTTTGGACAATACCGGGAGAATCTGAATGAGGCAATAACAATTTTATGTAATATTTCCACGTATTCGCGAAGAGGATAAACTAGAACTGAAAACAATGAAGGAGAGATTTCAAAATTGCACCTCGTAAAGAAGTATTTATTACTCACCCTTTGTATCACAAATTATACGAATGATGTGAAAAGTTTTCTGATATTCGAGCGAGAACACAATATGCTTAAACTATCCGTGACTTCGATGCATGTCAGGTCAGAGCTGACGACTACACCCCAGACAGCACACGACGTCCCGAGGACGTACATATTACGGTCGATTCGAGTCCGTACGTCCCGGAGCCTAATATAGACGGTCTCAGAACGTACCATCCCGTACGACTTCGGGACGTACAAAGCGTACGTTTTCAGGACGTCCATTTTTAGTCTTAAATTTCTCTATATTCATTATTCATATATATTCATTATATTTTTGAATGATGATAAAACATTGCCGAATGTGATCATAGTAGTAGTAATAAGGCCCCTTCTTGTTAGTTGCCGATCATCTACCGATTCATTTGATAATAGGTCACAAATGGTTATTTTTCGTCAACAATGTGGAGGAATTGAAGTGAATCTGGCAATGGTGACATATTATTATCCTGAATAATGTATATCCAATCTTCACAGGATGCCGATTTCGAAGATGTCCGTCCTCTGGGCGTACACAGGACGTCTTCGTGTTATCTGGGACTGTCATTGCGTCCTCCGAATTTACTGGAATACTGGAGGTGCAGGTGCTGCGACCGTCGCATATCAATATAAATACTCCCATCCCAGAAATTTCTCAATGGGCCTCTAGAAGTTATCACTCCAAAGAATCCAATATACCGGCAGAGAATCTACCTTTCCTCGTCAAACCCACTCACAATGATTGCCCTCCTTCTTCACCGTCCCGGTCTTCAAATCCAAAATCCTGCCAGTGTTCTGCGGCTCCTGCGTCGACAGCTGCTCCCGCACCTTCTCGACGTCCTCCGGATGCAGGTTGTCATAGAGGCAGGTGCCGTACCAGTCGTTCTGAGAGAAGTTCAGCACGGGCGCCACCGAGTCGGACACGTAGATGACGCGACCGGTGTCGCAGCTGACCACGAACAGGAATCCGTCGGCCGCCTCCAGGATCAGGTGCTTCAGCTCCTGGTCGGTCAGGAAGGAGGGTTTGTAGGTGCCGTCGGTGCTCGTGTTTCCCGTGCCTGGAAGATAATAATAATAATGATACTTCGTCTTTATTTGGGCGAAATACAGTGGGTTTTCATAATATAGGCGCAGCACTTCAGGATGTGATAGCTCGTCAGAAAATATGGAAAAAGTTTCTATTAACTTACCCTCTGAAATGCACCAGAGTGTTGAAATTTGAAAAAAAAATCGTTTTTTGTGAATATAACTGGAACCGTTTATCGCACAGGAAACGCAATTATTTTCTACTCAAAAGTAGTATTGATTTTGTTTTATAAGTAATAATTGCTGAACATTTTGATGGGGTAGTGAGTGTTTTTCTCCCCAACTTCTACGCCACTGAACAAATTACAGTGTCGAGCCGCCCATTTGAACCACTACAAAAAATATTCTCTTATTAACTCAAAAAATTTAACATGTTTTCCAACATGAAAGTAGATTTTTCTCAAAAACGGTCAACTTTAGAGTTTATGACCAGAAGTATCTTTTCGTGTAGAAACCACTGGCGGTTCAAATGGACTGTTCCTTTTTTAGTGGCGTAGAAGTTGGGGAGAAAACCACTCACTGCCCCTTCAAAATCTACAGCAACTATGGCTAAAAAAATGAGTTTCGCACTAAACACAGCTTATTATAAGTAGAGGATTCTTGCGGAAGCTGTTTTCTGTGTCATAAACGGTTCCAGAGATATTCGCAAAAAACATTTTTTTCTCAAATTTCAACAACCTGTATCTCGAAAATGGTGGATTTCAGAGGGTGAATTGATAGACACTTCTTCTAATGTTCTTGGACGAGCTATGACATCCTGAAATCCTGCGTAAATATTATTAAACACCCTGTATAGGCAAGGCTATTCTTATATTTTACCCTTTTTACCACAAGTGATACTATTTTGCCGAAAATATTCGGTGATTGTTACGACAGCTTGATGCCTAATAATTTCACGGATGACATTTCCCTATTGATGTATCGAACTGCATGAAGTAATGTTCTGTGAATCTTGTGCCTATACTTTGGCGTGTTTGCCCAATATATTTCATGTTACAGAGTTATCACAATCTATTTCATTAATACCCTGACCTACCGGAAGTATTAATTTTATCTTACCCAGCAGACTATGAATGTTGATTTTTGTTTTGTTACATTGATTCGAAGAGTCATAAAAAAATAAAGATGAAATCGCGAATATTCGGTTTTTTCCAAAAATCTCTGGTAGTATTCGGAAGTTTTCAAATTCCAAAACATCATTTTGTTTTGTTATCTTTTACGGTTTACGAGATCCCAATGATGAGGCTGGAATTCCAGCCACCCTGTACAGAAAACTAAATATATGAGAATCGAAATAAATCAAAACTGAAGAAATATGATTTAGTGTTTCCGTTTAACTTCCCAAAATTCCTCAAAACTCAAAAAATACCACCAACAGGGGAGACTTTCGAAAACCCAAGTTGTACGATCTACCTAAAAATAAGCTGCTTGGCAATAGAAGTAGACAAAAGGAGGAGGAGGTATCAAAAAAAAATTTGCGTACAATAAAACCTTTACGAGCGTAACAATAAAATAGTTCTATTGATTAGAAACAAATGTTTTGTTTTTATTCTACTATAGTTTGAAAGATGAAGTCATAAACAGAAATAGTTGTGCAACATTGCAAGTTAATTATTTTTCACACATAACTTTACAGGTCCCGTTGTTTTAATACAAAGTTGCAATCTAAAACTGAGGTACAATTTGCGTTATCGCCATTTAGTAATGCTCTCACAGTTTACACATGTTTACATAGAATGTAGTTCATCTAAGTCACCAGTGCCGTACATGGGGACAAAACAAAACGAATTATTATAAATGAAAACAGATGAAACTGTTGAAAATTCATAACATAATCATCAATTCGGACAGTAATTTTGTGAAAAACAGTTTCGTAGGACTCTCTGAATGAAATGAGTAACTCATAAACTGTTTTTTTTCATTGGAATTTTATAACTGTCCTAGAAATGTATCGGATGTAGGTTAGTACAACTGCATGTAAGCGCTACTGTTTCTCATTCGGTAGTGCCATAGCGAATGACAATAATAACACAGCTTTTTACGACTGCATGGTAAATTACATTGAAGATCTTTACGAATCAACGGTCTCGAGCTAAATAAAGTTTGAATAATAAGTTACTACAAATGATGTTTAATATTCAAGAAAGCGCATGTTTCGAAACGGACCCCGTCTATTGTCTCGTTATTTTAGTATTCCATAAACGTAACCCAAAATAGTTTTTTTTTATTGGAACATTTGGAAATACCGAACGTAGAAAAATCCAAAACTATAAAAGTTTATCATCAATCAAGTATCAAGTTGAATAGTTATTAGTGATAATATTGTAACCACGTCCAAAAACGGCCGCAAACAAAGTTTTTTTTAAGGCTGATTTTAGACAAATTCATGAAAAATTACATTCGCTAAATGTTTCATAGCACTATTTTAGCTTTTTTCCACATTTGAGTGTAAAATAGTTTCAATTGAAATCATTAAATGTCTATCTATAAATGTATAATATCGTATGAGTATTATTATCATGCATTACTAAATTTCAAATGCAAAGAATAATATGATAATTCCAGACATTTTTCTGCTAGCCGATAGCAACAAAGCCCGTAGAATTTATTATGTTAATTCAGACAATACAGGTAGTCACTTCGATGATATATTTTAAACATAAGAATGACGTTCTAAGAAGCACCAATCGGATATGCAAAACGTATTCCGCATAGAAATGAAGCCCGAGCCAAGTCAAGCCAGTACATCGGCTTCTAAATAATATTTTTCACTTTAATTTCACAGAATAAATTGCCACGTAGAGCAGAAGGCATTTTTTTCAAGAAAAAACTTTCAGATATTAGTAGGGTACGTCAGTTATGCTGATTGAGGAAAGAAGTTAATGACCTAATGTTTCTTTCTAAATTATACGTTGTGTGGTTACGTTTTTCAGACAGTTACCTACTTGTTGATGTTAGGTAATGAAGACATCATAATCTCGATCATAATGTGCTCCGGCTCACCCAAAAATTGTTTCCGAACCCAAATCGAATTGAATTTGAGTAACATGAGCCGTTCAATAATAACCGTCAAAATGCACTACATATTCCATTTTTGCGCCAAGTAAATTCGAGATAGAGTAAAATAGTTGAATAGAATTTATAAATAACATTATTTTTATCGGTTTGAATTAAAATATTGATTCATTGGACATTGTGATAATGAAATTCTTGTTGCAAAAGTACGAAGTTGCATTGATAATTTCAAGGTCGAGCACCTATATCACATGAATGCTTCGTCAATTTCTTATTACTAGAGAGTTTTTGTTCTCAGTATCTATCTTATATATTTCATGTACTAATATGCGATCAAAATATTCTTTAGGTACAAGAACTCTCACTGTGCCTAATATCTATATAAATAAAATTGAAAATTATCAATTTTGATCGAAAATGGCGCTTCTTCTCTATACATTCTAAGATTCTACACAGTTTAAGTCTAAATATACGTTAATCAACAACGTGAACCATCATGTGGAAATTTTTGATACATTATTGCAGACAAACCACTATAGGCAGGCTCGCTTACATCTCTCCCACACTCAATACATACATATATGTAATGTAAGAATTATCTATACTCTGCTGTTAGCACTAGAATCAAACGAGGGGCCAATTGGCTTGAAACCAATCAATTCGTCACCTTGATTTCCCCACAAAACACTAGGTCAATATGATAGAAAGAGAATGACAGTATATTCACTGACTTACATACCTCGGATGGGAAGCAATTTGGACAAAACGATGGAAAATTCCAGAAAAAAACAAATTTTCGAACCAATCAATTCTTCACTTTGATTTATCCATAGAAAGATACACTGACTTACATACTTCGGATGGGAAGCAATTCGGACAAAAATGATCGGAAATACTTCGAAAAATCGCATTTTCGAATCAATCAATTCTTCACCTTGATTTTCCCACAAAACACTAGGCCAATGTGAAAGAAAGAGAATGACAGTATATACACTGACTTACATACCTCGGGAGGGGAGCAATTTGGAAAAAACGATGGAAAATTACAGAAAAAACAAATTTTTCGAACCAATCAATTCTTCACTTTGATTTATCCATAGAAAGATAGGCAAATATGAGAGAAAGAGAATGACAGTATATACACTGACTTACATACCTCGGATGGGGAGCAATTTGGACAAAAATGATCGGAAATACTTGAAACAATCACATTTTCAAACCAATCAATTCTTCACCTTGATATTTCCACAAAACACTAGGTCAATGTGAATGAAAGAGAATGACAGTATATACACTGACTTACATACCTCGGGAGGGAAGCAATTTGGAAAAAACGATGGAAAATTCCAGAAAAAAACAAATTTTTCGAACCAATCTATTCTTCACTTTGATTTATCCATAGAAAGATCGGTAAATATGAGAGAAAAAGAATGACAGTATATACACTGACTTACATACTTCGGAAGGGAAGCAATTTGGATAAAAATGATCGGAAATAGTTCGAAAAATCGCATTTTCAAACCAATCAATTCTTCACCTTGATTTTCCCATAAAACACTAGGACAATGTGAAAGAAAGAGAATGACAGTGTATACACTGACTTACATACCTCGGGAGGGAAGCAATTTGGATAAAACGATGGAAAATTACAGAAAAAAACATATTTTTCGAACCAATCTATACTTCAATTTGATTTATCCATAGAAAGATAGGTAAATATGAGAGAAAAAGAATGACAGTATATACACTGACTTACATACTTCGGAAGGGAAGCAATTCGGAAAAAAATGATCGGAAATATACTTCGAAAAATCGCATTTTCAAACCAATCAATTCTTCACCTCCATTTTTCCACAAAACACTAGGACAATGTGAAAGAAAGAGAATGACTGTATATACACTAACTTACATACCTCGGATGGGAAACAATTTGGAAAAAACGATGGAAAATTACAGA